AATTCTGAATGATACCTTGGCTTAACATTTTAGTTATTTGAGATTTTACTTCTTGCTTATGAATTTCGGGGAATCTATAACTTTTCGTGAATATTGGTGTTTCATCGGTAGTATTTATTTTATGACAAATTTGGTTTGTAAAGCTTAAGGGGATATCTTCGCCATAGAAAATATCACGGAATTCAAAACAAAGATTTCTAATTGCCTTCTTTTCCTCTTTATTACAATGTTCCAATCGTAGATTCTTTAAATTCGATTTCAATAGGTCATCCTGCGTTTTTTCTAGCGGATAGTCATCTACGTCCATTTTTTCAATAAAATTAATTTCTGAACAATTTACAGTTTCGATGTCTAAGGGTTCAAAAAGTTTAATTTCAACGGGATTTTCGTTTGAATTTGTTAAGCAAACATAAGCAAAATAATTTTTCACATTGACTAAAGCCTTTGGCATTTCTACCTTATTTCCAAAATTTACATAATCCAAAATGCCTATACCTTCCTGAAGTGTAACAGGTATCTTTACAATCTGTTGAATTCTACCGGCTACTATTAAAGAATAATTGAAATTAGTCCAGCATTGATTTAAATTATTTAGATTTTGTCTAACCTGAGGTATATCAGATTCTTCATATATTATTGGTATTCTTGTAGTTTGGGTTATTAATTGTTTAAGATTAAAATCAATATTTGCATTTAACTGTTTTAATAGATCAGATCCGATTAAACCATCATATTTATCAGAAAACTTAAATAAGTGGAATTTTACATTTTTATTGGTGTTAAAAATTTTGAAAGTCGGAATTTGAATTACTTTATTATGATGTGAAAGTGCGTGAGCAGTTTGGATATAAAAATCTTCCTCAAAGATGAAATTTTGAAAATATCTTTTTGCAAGATCTGGGTCCATTAGAGATCGAGAACTTCCTGTATCGATTAGAAAATATCCATCAATTTCTGGTATATAAATATATGGAAGATCTGTTCTATAATTATTAAGTTGTATTAGGGTTGTTCTATTTGATTGGGAGTTGTGTGAAAATTTAGTTGGTTATTTTCGGCGTTACACAATTCCGAATCTATGTTATAGTCAAATGGATAAACTGTACAATCTGTATATTCGAATTCTTGTGTGTCACTCGGATAGTCAAAATTAAATTCGTATTCGGGATAGATATCGTTCTCAGTCGGATATGAACAAGATGGTGTTTCTATTGAAATATCATTTATTTTATTATTTTTTTCAACAGTATTTTCAATTTGTTGGTTAAATAATTCTTGGGAGACAAAGTTTGGTTTTGGTTGGATTCGAGAATTTCCAGAACTAATATCCATGGGTTCAGGGCGGTCTTTTATTGGATTTGTTTGAGTATTATTTCTCATATTTTGATTACGCAGTATCGCACTTGTACGTTGATTTGCGAAATGAGGGTGTTGTTGTGTAGGGAATTTATTATTTGGATACCAAGTCATTGGTCTAGGATATGAAGGTTGCGAAAATATTGGTCTTGCGAACCGTTGAAAGCTTTGTGGAGGATTAACTAATGGTCTTGTCGGATAATTATTTGGAGGCGGCGTCCAGTTACTTTGAATTTTCGGGAATTGTGACACAAATGGTGCACGAAAGTTTGTTGAAGGAAATTGAACTGGTTTAATATTTACGTCATCCTTTTGGAATATAGGGTTTATACGAGTTTGTGGTTTATATGTAGGTGTTATTAGATTAGCATTTTGACCCATTTTAAGGTACAAGAAATTTTCCTCCTCTCTGACAAAAGCGAGAGCTTGTTCCAAAGTATTAGGATCTCGTAATCTTACAACTAACTGCATGTTATAAGGTAAACCGTTTATAAATGTTTTTAGAGCGAATTGGTCGTAATGATTTATTTTTATTAATTTTTCATTTGCATCCTGTATTTCAGAATTTAATTTTGCAAATAATAAACTCCTAGCATCTTGTATTCTCATGCCAAATTGTACGGGTGGTTCATTTTTAAAAGGTTTTAACGAAAGCAAATCATGAATTAAACAATCAGTTGATCTTTGATCGCTAAACGTTACGTTTAAAGCCTCTTTTACTTGTGCCCATCTTATTAGTTCACTTCTACAGCATATTAAATCGGCAGCACGATCACGCAATTTACTTAGAATCGTATCGAAGATACAACTATTTATAGGATCATTAGGTACCGTTACATTTTGGAAAGCCCTTACAAAATTATCGCAAGAGTTAATGAATCTTGATAATAATTAGGATATTTTGAGTTTGTTCAGGATCCCTAGTAGGTTCAAAATTAATCTGTGCGAACCAATCTGCTAAACCTTCGATATCGGTTTCAGACATAAACTATTAGTTCCAAAAATAGATTTTTTTTTTTTATTATGAGTTTTAACAGGAAAACTTTCTTAAACAACAAAATGGAAAGAATAAAAGGAATTGAGCACTTACTGAACTAATTCGAGTTTCATGTCTTCTCTTAATTGCTACTGCCTATAGGTACCAACGATGTGTGATTGTACCCAGGACTTCCTATCCTAATCGTTGTCCAGGTCCCTTGAAAATGTGGTTCGAGGTGCCCCGGCGGTTCCCACGAAGTTTTTTGTTAGTTTCGGCGATGTTAGCACTTCTCCAACTTTTCACTCCGGAAAAACTGTCACCGACTTTTCCGAATGTTCGGATTCGCCAATTAATCGATGAAACGAAACGTACGAAATGTCCGTTTAGCGAATCCTACCGACTGCGCCAGTTTCGTGGTGGAATCGGTGAAAACAGTTTTTAAAAAATTTGACTTTATTTCTTAAAGTACAACTTTGGAACCGACAATTCATGCGAATTTACAACGTGAGCGCCCTGAAGTTAAGAAGCAACTAACTTTTAATCCGGCGAGAAACGAGGCACCTGAGCTTGCACATAATGATGCACTTATCAGCAACCGATTCGGCGAAATTGCATTTTGTTTAGTCTACGTCTACACTTTATCAACATATAACTCGCGCATGTGCAATACCCCTCTCAATATTTTTATAACTGTATGACACACCATGACACAATCAGTAAACTGCTCTAATCCCAAAATCATAACAAGCGGAGGCTTACGAGGTTAGCGCCAAAATTTCCCGGCCTGACATATGTAGATGCAGCAGATAAAACGTTGTCTTCTTTTAAATATATATATCTTAGTAGGCTGCGGAAAAAAAAAATGAAGTTTTGCGTCAAATAGTTGACAGCATTTGAAATAGGACGTGTCTGAAAAAATGTAGCAAATAACGCAAGCTGAGTATAGAGCAGTCATAAAGTTTTTGACAAGAGAAGGGTTAGCACTTAAAGTTATTAAAGAAATGCGGGATGGTGTGTGTACGGCCATAGTTCTCCTTATTCAAGAGCTGGTCGACTGGTGGAGGCCATAACGGAAGATATTGTTGCGATTGTGGAAGGGGTGGTATTGAGTGATCGACGTTTAAAGGTCAAGGAAATCTCAGAAATTACTAAGCTTTCTGATACAAGTATTCGTCGATTCCTGCATGATCATTTAGGTATGCATAAGGTTAGTGCAAGATGAGTTCCTAAAAACCTTTCGGCTATTCAAAAACAACGCCGTGTCGAGTGTGCGCGGTCTTTTTTGGAACTCTGTGGGTCGGAACCGAAGCCTGTGATAGAAACTATTGTGACGGGAGATGAAACTATGGTTCTCTATTATGACCCTCTATCGAAAAAGGAATCAATGGAGTGGCGTCGTAAGGGTGAAGCACCTCCAAGAAAATTCAGAGTCTGCCAGTCAACAAAAATGGTGATGGCCACGATCTTTTGGGATTGTGAAGGAATTCTTTTGATAGATTTTAAAGAAAACTAATACCACTGTCCATGGTAAATATTACGCAACATTATAACATAAATTGCGAGACTGCTTACGCGTAAAACGTCGAGGAAACTTACCAGAGGCGTGCGTCTTTTGCACGATAATGCACTTGTCCATACTGCTGGTGATGCACAAGCTGCCATTTTAGAGAGTGGGTTCCAACAGATAGATCATCCTCCCTATAATCCAGATATGGCCCCCAGTGACTATTATTTGTTTGGATATTTGAAAAAGGACTTATGTGGACGGCGGTTTAACGACGAAGTTGAGTTAAAAGAGGTTGTTATAGCTCATTTTGCAGACAAACCAAAATAATATTTTTTAAAGAGTTGTTAATAAAGAGATCTAATAAGTGTATTGAAGTTAACAGGGATTATATTGAAAAATAATAAAAAAATGTTACTCCACTTTGTTTCTTTCATATTCAGGCCGGGAAATTTTGGCGCTGCCCTCGTAAGTGTTCAAAATCAATCAATTACGAAGTGGAACTTTCAAAATACGAGTACGCAAAGAATGAAATAATTTTCTATATTTTCCTATAAAAAGAAGAAAAACAATATATACGGCAAAATATTAATAATAATAATAAATCTACAGCTATGTTTTTTTCTCAAATTATTAGATAATTACTTTAATAAATTGTAAAATTAAGGTGCTAATTTATCAATTTTTCAAGGACGGTCGCTTGTTAATAAATTCAAACTGGAACATATCACCATTTCAAACAGCTTAGAGAAACTGTGCGAAACTGATTTATTTACTAAATAGCATAAAATTTGTAGTATTTCTAGCATTCATAACTTTACTATGGTAGATATAATTTGGTCATAATGGCTGCTATATTTGTACTTTAAGTTTATTGGAGTATAACTCATGGTCGTTGGTAAATAATAAGGCCCACCCTATAAGATCGGTTTATATAAAAAAGTTTAAAAATTTCTGATCGAGAACATTTTAGGAATAGAATTATGAAACCCAATGTACAATTTTATCATAAAATTGCCGAGATATAGGTACTAATAGGTACCATCTAAAAACTTCTCCAAAATGTCGTCTCAACTATAAAGACTTGTTGCACTTTAATATGCTGAATTTGAATTCTGTAATTTTGATCCCTTATACCCATTTCTAATTGTATTTTCACAGGAATCGGTTACCAAATAGCACTAGATCTAGCTTCCAAAGGATGCCGCATAATTATAGCCGACGTTGTTAATTACACTGAAGCTGCGAGAGATGTTGCCAAAGAAACCCACAATCCCAATGTAATTGGCATGAAGCTAGATAACCAATCTTTCACGTTAGTTCGGGAATTCGCCCAGCATATAATAGACAACGAGCCACGACTAGACATACTCATAAACAATGCCGGTATCGCATCCACAGTGAAGACGTATACCCAAGATGGTCTCCACAGAACGATGCAAGTAAATTATTTTAGTCATTTCCTGTTGACGCATCTACTTCTTGGTAAGATATCTTTCCGATATTTAAAACGTGCTGATTAGTTATGGTTAAATTAGCATTAATATACAGTGTGACATAGAAATTGCATACCACTCAGTAAATGTATACTTATTTAATTGCCGATACAGGCAACAGTTTTCAATATCCCAAAGGCAATAAATCGCAATAGCTCCAATACTGAGCAAAATGTAGAACTGGTTGCATACTGCCAATTCTATCTAATATTTCCACCATATATCTCGGCAGTCGTTCCGCTGTGCTTCGCTCGTGACAAATCTCGTGACTCAAATGCCCTTTACCCGACTTGTTGTATAATATACTTTTATTATATCTATAGGTAAACTAGAATAGCATTAGCATTTTAATGATGTCTTCAACCATGTCTAGTTCAAAGAATTTTTGAGAATAAATTTAGATTTGAAGGCTGTGTGAGATTTTAAACTTGGTATTAATGTTAATTTGTATTTTTTGTATATTATGTCATGAATGAATATTAATTAAAAAATAAAAAGAACAGCCGTTACCACAACCAATATTCATTTTGTTTTAGACCTTCTGAAGAAATCTAAACCGAGCAGAATCATTTTTACCAGCTCAATTATCGCTTACATAACAAACCTCAATGTAGAAGATATGAACCTACAAGGCTCAGACGACTCGTTATGGAATGCGATAAAGGAGAGCGCGTACGGGTATTCCAAACTTTGCCAAGCCGCTGCCGCGAAGACGTTCGCCGTCAAGCTTAAAGGAACCGGAGTGACTGCAAACGCGTTTCATCCGGGTGGTGTGAGATCGAAAATATTCTTCCGGGCTCTTAGGGAGGAGAGCCGTTGGCTTCCAGTTTTTATGGGGTTATTCACTTGGACTTACGGAAAGGTAAACCTCGATTTTTCAAAATGTTGTAATACTACTTTTAAACTCACGATTAATTCATGAAACAGTTGATGAATTTCTCCATAAAGTTCTTGCCGATACACGGGATATTCGTCAATTTATTTGACGTTTCCAAATGTCATTTTTAACAGTTCAACCAATATTTAAAGGTTATGTTATGAAACGGCACAGATTTGGGATAAAATAGTATATTATGCAACAAGTGCTGCAAACGGCATTTGACTCACGAGTTTATTTGACATGAGAGGAGCGATTGTTTAATAAACGAGTGACTTAAAAAGTTTACCGAACGTGTTGCATCTATACTTTTTTTACGATCACTAGTTGCTGGGTACATTTTCGCAAAACAACACGAATACATTCATTGGCATGTCCGTCAGAATTGACAAACGTCAAAATTAAAAGCATGGGAAATATCTGCGAAAACAGCCGATTGCTCCCAAATCTGTGCGGTAAAATCCCGGAAATGACCGAAGTGGCTCGGATTTATAGGAAACGAAACTGACATAGTAAAGTGACGCTTCCCGCACGCTAGATCGGTGGGTAATTAGGTATTTTACAGAAGGAAGAGAAAAAAGTCTTTGGTGGAGAGAGACACAATTTTACTGTAAAATGCCTAACTACACACGATCTAACGTGCGGGAATCGTCACTTTACCACGTCCGTTTCATTTTCCATTTGTTTGTTGTTTTGCGAAAATGCACCCAAAAACTATCGGTCATAGAAACAGTATAATATGCAACACCTTCGGTAAACTTTTTTGAGTCAAATGCCGTTTACTGCACGTGTTGCATAATATACTATTGCTTCTTATTAAAACTTTCGAGAAGTATAAAGCAGTACCGAAGAGAGGAGAAAAAGTGTTTTATTTTGATGAGGCGCAGATTGGTGAAGGATCATAGTAGCAAAAATGCAGCAGTACAAAAATATAACCAGTCCTCGCTAGGCTTTTATGGAAGGCTGTCAACGAGTATTAAGTTACCTAAGGGAAAAATATTCGTCCATATTCGAAGCGAATAGGGACTTTTAAAAGAAGGTTTGCTAACCTTTCTTCGTGCTATATTGTTATATTGTTATGAGTAGAATGTAATTGGTAAATGTTGGTACAAAATACAACTATTTGCCTGTTTGACATTCTATTTTTCTATTTTCAAATTGTTTTGTGAAAATTTTGCTGGAGAGAAATTAGTTAAACGATTGGCGTAGTCTAAAATTCTAATAAAAAAATAAAAAAATTGTAGAAATTATATTTTTGTAATAATAACACTTCCGTAATATCTCTATTCTTTATTCTTTCTCTTTTCGTTTTTAAGATAAAGATTATTTTGTAGCTACATTTGTAGCGCGATATTTTCCAAATAGTTGGCGTTTGACCCAACGTTTATATAACAAACTACCATTTATTTTACACAAGGAAGCACCCGGTTAAGTTTGTCCCATTTCTCTGGATTCGCACTGTATAATAAAAATGGTTCTGATTTATTTTGACAGCTGGCATTTCTGAAATGACGGAAAACTTTGACGAAAATTGGAAGAAGAGTCTTTGACATTAGAGGGGTGCATTAAAACTAATATAAAAATTAATATCATATTAACGATTAATATAGAATATATAGTATATAAAATAAAAATTAAACGAAAATTGTTTTTATCTTATAGAGCACGGAAGAAGGGGCACAGACCGCAGTTTATTTAGCACAAGCCGACGAAGTTGAAAAGGTAACGGGAGCTTTCTTTCAGGAAGGACGGGCGGTGTTTCAGCCTTTGCAATTGCGATCAGAAGACACGTGCCAAAAAATATGGCGGAATTCGGTCAAGTACACGAAACTTGAACCGAGCGAAGTAAAGTGTTAACATAGTATTTTCCTTTTTCATTAATAAATGATATTTTCTTTTTTTTTTACTTTTACAAACAATCGATTTATTCTATGTTTGGTTAGTTTTGGAAATACTGTACATTGCTGTTGTAAAACCAGATTTTTTTTGTAAATTACACAAGATTGTGTCAGTTATTGCCGAAAACCAGAATCAATCTTAAAATTGACTCCGAGGAAACTATCAACTAAAATTCCGCGAAAAGTGATTTCATTTGTACCGAGTGTCCCACTAAAAATGGCTCCCGGCCTTATCTCTTGACAGACATAGCTAAAAAATAGCACTGACAGACATAGCTAAAAATTAGCACAAGGACGATGAGATAGCTACATCATTTTTAAAATAATGTGTCACTTGATTATGACCGTTCTAAAAAAAAATGAGAGAGAAACAATTAGTTCGCTTTTACTACCAGAATACCAGAATATAATAATTAAGACACCACCGACGTGATAGAGACTTGGGGCAAATTTTATAATAGAAGAAAACGACTATTAATAGGGATTCTTGTCTTTTTGTTGATCATTTTTCTACTTTATTTACCGATTTAATTCTTACTGAAGTCACTTGCGAATAATTCTTCTAAGATCAAACGATATTCAAATTCAAATTTTATATTTTACATTCTCTAAAACGTAAACGCCCTCATATTGAGCACTTTATAACAGAATTTAATTAAAATGCAGAATCAATTCAACAAAAAAATATGGCCACCACAGAAAAGTAAGGTTCGCTTTTTACAAACCTATACTTTTATATGGGCCTTGAAGTAACAAACCTTGTAAACTTTGGTAACACACCTATGTGTCTAATACCAGTGTAGTTCTTGCAATAAAAGTTAAGAGGGATGAAACTAATAGAATCAATTGAAAAGTATGTACAAATGTTAAACCAATTATTTTTATTTTATTTTATATCTTTAGAATTGAACTAAAAATGCTTTTTAAAATTGTTGCAAGCACATGAGAGTCCAGGTCCAGAGTTTCGGCCTCCTACCCTAAGCACATTTTCTATAAAAGCTGCAACTATATTTAATTTTCTACCAATTTTTCTTAGCATGTCTAAAAGAAAACAATTATTAAACATCATCGCCTCGAAAACGTAGCGGCGGCCTTCTTCTACATGAGGAAGTCTGTCACTAGTTTCGTAACATTCTTCAGGTTTCACAGTAACTATAAAATATGAAGAAGTGCTTTAAGGTTTATAATGGATTTACGGAGTAAATCATAAGATCCCAGTCATAGATAAAAAAAAGTAACCGAAATGTTGGTATTTGTTGGACGTCTTACTATAGTAACACCATAGTTTTGTTATAAAACTAAAAAAATCGTTTATAATGTTCCTTATTAATACCCAACAGATATCCGTTGCCTTATAATAATTCCTTGACCTGCACAAAATATTAGTTAGGATGTAACCTACAAAAATTATAAAATTAAACTCGAGCGACAATGTTATCTGCAAACATGCTTAAAATAAAGCTATTATCTAGCCGTTAAATATCTGCCCTTATCGCGCGCCACTGCGCACTATTATCTAATTGGCAAGCAATTTATTTTTTTCTGTTTCACTGTTGAACCTGTAGATAGTAGTAGTTCTGTATTTCGCACAATTTCTGTCGATATGTTGTGGATCATTCTTGCGCCGATTTTACTGTACATAATAATCGAATTATTCACTTTCGCGACAAACGCCAGATGTACGTCGAAAGTATGTTTGATCGGGAAAACTGCCCTTATAATTGGCGGAAATACGGGTAAGTTATTTTTATACTATTAATTAATAGTTGGAAAAATAAATGTGGAACATTATAAAGGAGAGAGTATTGCACAATTGAACGAAGCGATTTAAAGGCATTGAAGAAATTTCAAAATTTAAATCAATTTCAGTACCTGTAATCCGGTCAACTTACACACGAAAATTTAAGTCAAATAACAAATATTCCGACAGAGTTGTATTTTGTCTTCCGTACACCAGCAGATATAAAAGGCCAAAAATTCCCACTGATCCCACGTGTTAGAAAAAAAGTCGGTTTTATTTGCAACGAAAGGGACTACTAAACAGGGTTAACTTGAAAGTTATATAGAAAAGTGCAGGTAACTTCTTTATTTCAGTTTTTAAGACCAACACACACCTCAAATCGTTTCACCAAATGAACTATAGTTGTTGGAGTTCACGGATATGATAAAGGGCTCTACAGTGTTTTGCATCATGTTATCAGCTTCCTACTTTTCAATTTCAATCACGTGTTCGACGCACTTACTCCATTTTTCACAATCCACTGTCTTTCCTCAGTCTTGGAAACTGGTACTATGCCTTGCTACAAAAAAATATTCCTGCTGCTGCCTTTTTCAAAATGAATGACGTCATTTTTTTTCCAAAAAGAGTAGTAACTGACATTATCCATGACTATAACAGATTCAAGATCTAGTATTTGTTGGAAATGTCTTGCGTTTCGATGGAAATGCTAATAAGCCGCCACCACTGACAAATACATTTTTCCTAAGAATATGAGTAATAAAGTGATAAAGACATTCGCGACCAGCGTTTTAACTGTAAGTGTTTTTGTTCGGGCTTAATGGCCGTCGTTGAGTGGAATTTCTTCCTAACGTTTCGCTAGCACGAGCGGCTAGCTTCTTCTGAGGTGCTTTCATCTCCGATGTTGGTTGCAGACTGACGCGCTCACGGCCGTAAGTTGTATTTATGCCTGGGGAGCCATGGGGGGGAGGGGGCGGGGCATTTTAACGCATGAGTGGTTGTGCGTACCGGGGCTGTCCTTGTGTTCCTTAAGATGGGGTTCCAAATTTGTTTGAGCTGCAGTGTCTCTTCTTTTCTATTGAAATTATTTATATGTTTATGGATTTCTATTGCTTCTCGTACGAGGCGGGCATGATAGCCCGAAGTGGGCGCAAGAAGCCTGGCTTCCCCCTTCCGAATGTTCAATTTTATGTCAAAAGTAAACTTTGCAGGACTAAATATTTCTATCGATTTCATCCTTTGTGATATCATAATGTAATATAATGCAATAATGTAATACAAATTTGTCTGTTGACAATTTCAATATAAATAAATACAGGGTGATCAAAAACTAATATTACAAATTTAAACATGGAAATCATAAGTCTTTTTTTTTAATTTGAACGTATTTAGCATTTTAAAAAAAGGTGACTTTGTGTAATTGCCAATTTGAAAAAGTTTTAAAATTCGAAATATTAGCACCACAATTTTGGCTTTTTCTTAAAAAAAATAATAATACAGAAAATAAAATAAAATATTTAAAAACATTATTAGCATTATAAACTAAAATTAAATGAATTTTTTTATTAAAATTTTTGTGTTAGTTAGCTAATCCTGACGGTCCTAAAATGTTTAATTTTTTCTATTATTAGTTTAGCTCTATTTCTTGTAGGTTTTCGTCTATGTAAATATTTTTTAGCAAACGCCGAAACGTTTTCAATAAAATTTGTTCAGTTTTTAGAAATTAAAGAAATTTCAAGTAACAAATTTTGGTTTATAAACTAAACCTTTTTTTTATAAGGCTAATTATGAGCTTTTAAAAAATATGTAATATACAAATACAAAGGATCTAATCTTCAACTTAACCTTTTTTGGTTACATAAATTATTTATTTACTATTTTATTGAAAAGGAAAAATAAGTTAAATAATACGAAAAACGATATCTTAAGACGGCTCCTGCAAAACAACAACTTGTTTTGTTTATATTTTTCCCAAAAAAGACCTTTCTTTTGCTAAACGTTTTCATATTTCCACTGGTAAAGAACTGAATTTAAAAAACAACAACAATAAAATTATTTCTCTGGTGTAAATAGAAAACAAAAACACAACAGCTACTTTTAAAACAAATCGAAAATTTCCAAGGTATCCGCCAAAATTCAGCTCAGTGGGAATTTTTGTTTCTTCCAATGTCTGTTTTGACCGGACTAGTAATTCAGCTCTTGTTACAGTTGGTTAACATTACACTACGCGTAAACACTGGCCTTGCTTCCGAAAACCTTCTCCGATACCGATAGAATAATGGTAAAAATTAACATATTTTAAATAGGCGTACCAAACAAATATTCCATCGGGTTTGATAGTTGAACATTTATATACAGGGCGGCCTCATTTCTACATGATCCTTTTATATCCCTTGATAACATTATATGCAGACCATACCTATAGGCATCTCTGCGAAATGTCAATTTTAGTTCATTCTTATAATTCACCTTACAGTTCGGAACACAGCAAGAGTTTACTACAATTATATCAAAAAATTTATGTATTTGAGATTTGTGATAACGGCTAAGCTATTTACACGTTTTCGAGATTACTGTTTCTTTTAATGCGTCACTTTTTTCACATGAAATACCTATTAGCGTGTATATTTTTCTACACAATAAAAAAGATCTCATTGAAAACGTATAATCGAGCATATAAACTATAAACTTAAAAGCGGCAGGTATTTATCCTTCCTTTTCGTGGTGAATCACCGACTGTTCACGGTCTCTCATTTCACCGACTTATTTTGTTGGAACACGTTAAAATTTACTTTGCTTTTCAAGGTCTCGGATATGAACTAGCAAAAGCTCTGGCGACCAGAGGATGCACAGTGATCATTGCAGACTATGAAAAAGCTACCGAATCCGCCAGACAAATCATAGAAGAAACACATAATCCCAACATAATAGCGAAGCATGTGGATTTGAGGTCGTTTAAGTCTGTGCGAAAATTCGCCAAAGACATCGTGACAAGTTTCGACGCGATTCACATCTTAATGAATAACGCGGGGATAGGTGACATAACTTATGAGATGACCGAAGATGGCGTGCAGACGATTATGCAGATTAATTATTTCTCGCACTTCCTTCTGACGCATCTTTTGGCAGGTATGACAATGTGGCCACATTCGTGAAACAACGGTTTATAAGACAATTTACAATGTGTAGGTTTGTAGGATTTTTAGTTAATCTCTTTTGAAAATAGTGAACTTTCAATTATCCAAAAATAGTATTAATGCTATCTGCTTGTCAGTTTTAGTAAAAAACGAAAAGAAATGCGCTTGCCGATTCAAAACCAATATTTCACAATACATATAATAATTTTTCAATATTTTACCGATGGGTTTAGTAAATTATTCGATATGCTACGATCTTAAACTATATCTCATGTTAATATGAATTTTACAAAGAATTAAGATTATAAAATATAGCTGCTAAGCCTTTTGGTTTTATATGATTTTTCTAATTTGTCCCATGCATTTTAATAAGCATAAGCAAATCAAAATTAAACTCGTGCAAATAATGAAATTGAGCCAAATGTGCCTTAATAAAATGTCGCACATCAGAAAACCATGAAAATTAAATACACACATTCTACGCCCAAATCAACTAGTTGTTGAAGTTAACAGAAAGTAATATTATTATGGGAGACCTCAATGCCAAAAAAGGAGAGGGAGAAGTCGGTAACATAATGGGGTGTGGATAAAAGAAACGAACGAGGAAATCTTTTACTAGACTTCTGCCAAGAAGAAAATCTTGTAGTATGTGATTTAAGTTAGCGAAACGAAGTCTATACACCCAGAAATCCCCTGGAGGCACTAAAACTCACATGAATGTTACTGAAATGTAATAAAAGATGTAAAAAAATACCGAAGCCGATCATAACATTGTCATAGGAATATACCGAACAGACGAAAAAAATCAAGCAAGCATCAACGATTACATTAAACTGAAGAATCCAAAAGCCTGAAGAAAAATAACTAAACAATTATATATAACAATTAAACAAACAACACCGACATCGGACAAGACAACCGGTCTAAGAATCATGGAATTCCTTACAACACACAATTAATCAAATACAAACAGAAAAACTTATATAAATAACAGCCAGCAGGAAAGAAACCATGGATGAGCAATGAAATTATAGGTATAATGGAATTTCTGGAATCTAATGGAAACTGTTCACAAATAAGTCACACGCAATAGAAAAATTAATAAATGACCGATATTAGGAACTATAGTAAAGCACGATCAGTTTAAAATATACAGAAAAATTAAGGAAGTCGCGGAAATAGGAAAGAAAGTACTGCAAAACAATTTCCTCAAAACAGAAAATAACAAAATAATTACAGACCAGGAATAAATAAATGAGGAATGCTCAAGATATATTAGAGAAATATTTGATGATGCGCTGCTTTGCATACGCTACAATACAATCAGCTAAGAGCGGTTTCAACCCAAAGTTGCTCTCAACTTGCTTATTTCCAACAAAACACCCCGCATATTATTACATTTCCAGATTCTGTGTGAAATTCTTAAGATATTTTATTTATAATGAGATATACCTATATCTAATGGTTTCTAAGATATCTGAGCTTGAAAAAAAAAATTGCACCTCCAACTTAAGCAACTTTGAACATGCATGTTGTTTTAATTTCCGAAAATTTGATCCTCATATTTGGCAAAACGTTAAAACAGAAGTTAAGTTTACGTTTTTGTTATTGTAATTGTCTACTTTTATACAGGGTGTCCAAAAGTGGGCCGCAAACATTCTCAAAATGGCAAAAATTGTTTTTTCCGATGGGATACCCTGTAATTTTAAGTTTTATCAAGTCCAGGACTTATTTCTTATAATTACTTATAATTAGGCTTTATATAGAATCGCATTTGTTCGGCTGAACATTTTCCCTTCACGTATTATATTAATTATTACTAACTAACACAAAACACAATAATTGTTTTTCTCTACCCAGGTATGTCAAGGGAAAATACGCTACTATCAAAAAATTTAATTATTTCGAATATGATCCGGAATAGGTATTAATAACCCTAACGCAATTTGACGGGAAAATGACTGCTGGACTTCATAACACTTAAAGTTACATATGTCCCATTAAAAAAAAACGAGTTTATTAAAATAGACCAGAAAAATTTAAAAAATATCAACTCACGACTCTTTTTGAACATTGTTCCAAATATGAGGAACAAATTTTCAAATATTACAAAAATATGCATTTTCAAAGCTGGTTTGGTTCCTTTATTTAATATCTACTCGGAGTATACATTTCAGCAGCGAACTGTTAAATTGGTGATAAAGGTACACGGTTAAATACTTACAATGTACTCTAAGAAGGTGCCTTGTAAGTAAAGTACCTTAATCAGGAGACCGAAACCCGAGCATGAATTGAAAACTCAAGACCCACGTTTGTGAGAATGAAGAAATTTTTAACAAATATTGCCGTTATATTACTCGATACCGTTTTGGGAAAACATATTGTCTTGCATGACACGGAATCTTGGACAAGGGAAAAGAGAATAATGAACCCGACTGGAAACATTTGAAATGTGGGTTTTCCGACATATATACAGAGGAAAAAAGACTGTTTACGCCAGATAGAGGGCCGAAATGGTTTCGGAAGACGAAAATGTTTAAATGCTTAAAAACGTAATTGAGTTCAATAATAAAGGTCTTAAAGAACAAGAAAATTTCGCTCATCAGAGAGACAGATGAAGGTTTAATTCGCGAAATTGTATTTTTTTTATGATTCCTGACCTAATTACATGAAACCTTGGATTCGAAGGTTATTGGATATTAATGATGTAAGTATTAATATGTATAATGTATTTAATATACCGTTTTCAAAATATTTTACCGCAAAATGTTGCTTTTTTAATATCTCTGGAAGTGTAAGAATTTGTTTTTGATTCCATTTGGCTATGGATCCCCAAATATATATGAATCCAGTTTGGGTCACACTGTACAATAATGAATATATAATAATTTGGCCCATCAGTTAAGACTTTAAGATAGAGACGTGGTTAGTTTTAATCAGAGAATATTAAGTATCTATCACATACAAGCTATAGCTAAAACGTTATTTCATTTTTTCAAACAAGGATCATACTCAGTTTGTATTTATAAACTTCCTATTGCTACAAGACATATTTCTCTTCGGTACTAAATTTCGCGGTAAACTAACAAATACCTTGCCTGGATTATTTTTCGAAATATTTGCACAACCACAGGGGTCAACATCTTTTTACTTGACAAATGATAGACGCGTTGTTTATAAAAAAAAAACAAGCGAACATTAATATGAGCAATTATTTGCAATTATTTTAGTTTATGGTTATTTTAGCTATTTATTAATTTTTGTAAAATCTGAAAAGATGTGCACATAATATTATCTATCTCGGCGAAAGAACCAGTAGCACCATTATTTTTCAATCATTCAACTTCAAAGCTTCCCTGTATAAGCTTCTATTAAAGTTTTTTTTAGGTTTGCTGATAAAATCCGCTCCGTCGAGAATTATTTTCACAAGTTCGATAGCGGCATATAATGCCAACTTGACCATCGAAAATCTTAAGGGAGAACGACCGGAAGCAAGTGGAATTATGGAATCCGCAGCGTACGGAAATTCCAAACTGGCACTGGCAATATTTTCTCGAAGCCTGGCAAAAAAATTAGAAAATACTGGCGTCACCTCGAACTGTTTGCACCCTGGATTCGTAAAGACAAAAATATGGCAGGGAATTCGTGAAGTGGGTCCAAAGATTAGGTTTTATTCCTGGTTTGCGTATAATGTTCTTTTTGGAAAAGTAAGTAATATTTATTAATAAATAAATAAATTTTGGCACAATTTGACATATGAATCACTTCATTCCGGAATGAAAAGCAACTAAACAAAAGTATAAATAAACCATTTTACACTCACTGTTCCGGAAAAAATAACAGACTACCTACTAAACATAAATTTTTCAGATCAACATTAAATTTTTACGTTGACGTTAAAGTCAACAGAATTTTTTTTATGAAAACTTTGAAAAGGTTGTAGCTATTCTTCAAAAAAATTCATAACAATTTCAAACACTAAAGATTCGTATTCTTGAAACCCATTACTGGACATAGGTAATTTTATCCCACCCGCCAATACATGCTGTTCTAGAAAAAATAAAAAGTTCCATATTGCACGCTACGCAGTCCACGAAGCCGCTGTGAGAAGCTGCTTGTCGTCCTTGAGGGGCCCATTGTTTTTCTATCGTACTCACGCTGACCACTATGGAACTCTTGCCAAATGAATATAATTATATTCTGTAGGTATCCGGTATAAAGTGCTTTGCAATAAACCCTCGCCATGACTTCAATGTCATTTCAAACTATGATAAATATAACACATTGATTGCAACAGAAAGAAAGCGATGTACACCCTGTATGACAGATGAAAACTAAATACGAAAAATGTGGCTCTTTACGCCGTTTTCAATGCTGTATAAAGCAAACCAAACGACAATTTTCAGGGTATTTGAAATTTTTGTTTATAACCGCCACACCCTGTACATAACAGAAGTTCCTTGTTCCTGATTTTGTCCAATAGGATAAATGGTTTTCGATAAAATATTTTTTTTCTTGAATTATGTACGGTGTATCCTAAGAGCACATGACGTCGTCGCGTCAAGTTTGAGAGTATGAAATAGCGATTTTCACATGATTTTTTTCGAATATCTCTCGACGAGTATGTGATAACCAAAAACTCTTTATACGAAACTTGTAGCTCTCGATGGGGCCTAGAGCAGTATTTAGACCAGAGTGTCCAATTTTTCACGATTTTTCATTTATGACTAATAATTTAATTCAGTAGCTTAATGTTTACGCTATTTTAACTGAAACACCCTGTATATAATCGAAAAAATTCTTGACGTAAAGGTTTATAGCCCCGAATCACCCTCGCTTTCTGGTTTAATAATTTTTCCGTTCGGAAAAATAGTTTTTGAAAAATACTTTTTTCTAGAAGTAAAAATAACTTTTTTTTTTAACTCGAAACTCGATTATGCTCATGTTCTACAGCTTAGATATGGACATGGACTTTTACCTCCCTGATAAATCTCATCTCTCTCATCAAGTCATTTTCATAATATCGCACGGAATATCTGCAACAATATGTCAAACCCTCAAATACATGTTTTAGCTATTTAGCTATGTTAAAAAATCTGACAACTAAAACAGTCTTTTGGTTATCGCAAATTTTCATTAAGAGAACCCATTTTTCAGTTCCTTCGGGTAACCGGTGCACCTTCAACACTTTTAAAAAATCATCAAGGTGTGTGGATTTTTTCGATCCCATAAACGGTTTTCGAGAATCAATTTTTTTTGGGCCTTTGCAAATATGATATGAAATGTTTCCAAAATACATACTTCACAACCCCCCAACCTTTCTAATTTCAATAGTCTCCGAAATGTATGCCAAATTTTAAATGGCTTGCTCCAAATTTCGTATATCTACTTTGTTTCATAACAATGTCTAAAAAACAGCGGAAAATCTAAAACAAAGGATAGCCTCCGAGATTAATTCCTGAATCGTTAAAAAGGGGGCAAATTTTAAGCTGTTTGCAATTTACCATCCACAAAGAAGGGAAAACCGATAGACAAAAAGAAAACAGCTTACTTACAAATACGCCAATATCCTCGATATTAGGTGACAGTAAATTATTGAATGAAAGAAGAAAGCCTAGTGAATTTCAATCTCATCATCTGGATAGTAGTGAACAAGTGTAGGGTGAGGTAACCAGAACAATAAAATTTGAAGTTGAAAATGTATATTATATATATTTATTTATTTTAATGAGTAATTTCTAAGTTTTTTTTTGGTCTAAACGAACGGTGAACAGGCCATCAGCGAGGTGACATGGTTCGCATCTGAAACTAAAAAAATATCCTGAGTACCAAAGATTCATGAAGCAAACTTAATATTACTTAATATCACCAGACATCACAGAAAAAATTGCATAAAATCTGTTGTGATGAGTTTAGATTGGTACTAAGGGCATCTCACACATAGTACCACCATAGTACTAGTGCTAGTGATATTAAGGACAGAGACACGCGAAGTATCCTGTCGCAAATAACCACACCTGCACTGAAGGGCAGAGACACGCGACAGTGCAATAAGCATCAGGTCATAATATACTGAAGGGCAGAGACACGCATCAGTATATTGGTACTAAGGGCAGAGACACGCATAGTACCTTTTTCAATCACTAGTGCTGATTATTCCGATTGTGCAGTGGATACCAAGAGCAGAGACACGCGAAGTATCTTGTCGCAAATAATCACACCTGCACTGAAGGGCAGAGACACGCGAAGTATCTTGTCGCAAATAATCACACCTGCACTGAAGGGCAGAGACACGCGACAGTGCAATAAACAACAGGTCATAATCTACTGAAGGGCTGAGACACGCATCAGTATATTGGTGCTAAGGGCAGAGACACGCATATTACCTCTTTCATTCACTAGTGCTGATTATTCCGATCGTGCAATGTATATTAAGGGCAGAGACACACGAAATATCCTGTCGCAAATAACCACACCGGCACTGAAGGGCAGAAACATGCGACAGTGCAATAAACAACAATATCCTGAAGGGCAGAGATACTCGACAGTACCCCTGACTTTCAACCAACAAAGCAACAACGTTTAAAATAGTTCAAAGAGAGAACACTCTAGTATTTAACCAAATTCTTTGAGTATATTTTACAAATTAAAAATGAAACCAATCAACCATTTGGTACTTTGGTATTTTGGCCAATAAAATGAAAACATCATGAAATGCAACTACCGTACTCGTGAGAACACAGTCTTCGCAATTTCACGTAACGCAAACGCAGCCCGAAACAGTGGAATGCACGGTTAACAGAGAAATGCCGAAAAGATATTTTTTAAAATGTTACTGCACCCCAAAACTATGTTTATTTTAAATGAAGCCCTTTTACTTATCTATATTCTGACAGAGCCAGGGCCAGAAATGCGTTTTTTTTTTAAGAAAACATCTGGCTCACATGTGGTTGCTTATTGCGTCGTACGTACTAAAATTTTATAGGGTAGCTTAAAAAATATATGCGTCTTACATAAGATATGCTAACAAGCAAAATATACGTTTTATATCAGAACCTGATTGTTCCTACTTTGGATTAACTGAAAAGGAAGCTAGAAAAAGATGAAACCAATATGGGTTTTCTTTTGTTGTTGATTGTGCGTTTTTAGATGGGTAACAATATTTAAACCGTTTAACTTATCTAAACTGGTTCTGAGCTGTTTAGCGTGTGGAACAACCAGTTACGAACATCTTTCAGTTTTCATTGGTAAGCTACAATGATCATGACCACAAACCATTTAAAAATGTGTCTTCTTTGCACTGATCGGAGGCCCTATTCTTGAAAAGTGCAAGAGTGTTTGTTGCTGCAGAAGATGGGTTTGATAGGAAAATTCTAATGTTGTAGTAGTAGTAATAGTAGTTTAGGAGAAAAACTCATTCGTAAAACTAAATTTAAGTGAAGAATACTATAACTTAAATTTATTTCTTCTAAATTACTCTATGAAATATCTGCCGCCACACGCACTCAGTGAAAGTTCTACATTCTGTAATACCTAAAAGGACACCAGATTAGTACAGATTTATCCGGAGGATAGGTAATAAGAAAAACGATAGGAATGCAAGTTATCACAAGAGTTATAACATAACATTTTGTAAACCTTGCTTTATTAAATCTTATGAAGTGGCGTTTTGGCCATTATTTGTCGAACAATTAATAATGCTTATCACCTCCTTCACTCGCTCACCTCGCAGTGATTCTTTCGGTTATATCCATAGAACGCTCAGAAAAGCGATGAACATATTCTCACCTTCCACAATATCGAATTATGGAATTACGACGGTAAAAATTGATGCGCCGAAGACGACATTGATATTTTTGTAAAGAAGGGAATGATTTTACGCACATACATGCTACATGCACTTTTCGCCATTTTCTTCCATACAGCGATATGCACACGCTTAACTCGTTTTCCCATAACATTTCAGGAGATCTAGGATTTGAGAAAATACTGCTTCCGGATTCATTGACGATCTGCCAGTGGTCGCGTTGGTTGTTGAATGTCGCAAGGTTATTGGTTAAAAACGAGATTTTAAATCTCGCGCCTGAGCATGCTGAATGGACCTTCTCAATTTTTTTTGTTAATAATTCCTTCATAAGTTCCTGTATAGGCATTTAGGCAGGGCCTCAATATCTTTAGTAGCCACATGGAATGAAATCATTTTTTTGAGAGAGAGTCGTTTCGCATAAGTGACGCAAGTAACCCTCTAAAACGTCAGCTTCATTATCGACTGCCACGAGAAACTTCGAGCGTTTCCGGTACTTTAGTAGTAATTTAAATTTCAACAAATTCAAATTTTGAACCTTTTTTTTTAATTTTAGTTTTTATTTAAATACTTTACTCCCTCCGTTTGCCAGGCTCAAGAAAGCTACCAATTTTTTGTTCAAGTTAAAAATCAATGGGATCTATTTAGAGATATCTCAACTAATATCCTCCCGGGATGTTGAATTTTTTTGCTCCGACAAAATTAAAATTTTTATTGAAGTAACCCCAATAGCCTCCCGTGTATCCGCATTTTTTTTATGTTTAACACCCACAAAAATCGTTACCAATAATTGGTACCATCCGATGGAGGAAGCAGAAATTTCAGCATATAAATTTCTTTTGCTGTTCACGATTGCAAATAAGCGAGTTCTTACGGTATCTCATTTATCTTTAAAAATACAAATAAACTATTAATAACTTTCTACCTAGAATAAAGTACAATTTTCATAATAAGAATACAGCGTCTCATTAAATTAAACCAAAACTATTTTAAAATAAAGCATTTTTAAAAACTTACTTTATTTTTACGTTGATACATTAATAGCAACTACGGCAATTGTACTGGAAACGATTTTGCATTATCTTGATTCAATGTTACGCAAAATAAGATATTCGAAACCCTAAAGCCTAAACAACGGCATTTTGGTCAATTTAATGCACAATTTTATGCAATTGTTTCTATTCCAGAACGCTGAGGAAGGCGTGCAAACCATGCTTCATCTGTGCTGCAGTGATGACGTGAAAAACGTATCCGGCAAGTTCTTTTTCGAGTGCGTGCCATCTTGGCAACCGAAAAAGGTCCACGACGAAAAACTTCGTGCCGATATTTGGAAATTAAGCGAGGAAGTTGTCCAGCTTAAACCGGATGAAAAACTCGATTGCGTGTTAAAAAGTATAAAATTTTAATAAATTGTTTTTCAAATGTATGTAGTACCAAATTGTTGAAATTTTCTTAATTATAGTCCAAAGTCTTTCTTGAGCTCGAATTTCCTGTTCAGTCCTTTTAAAGGTTTAAAAGAAATACCCATTGCTCAAATTCAATCCCAAATATTTTCGTTAATCCACAGATTGCACACACTATAAGTTAACACGGAGAAAAACATTGTTACGACGAATGGCAGATTTCAGTTGGTGCCACACATGTTCAATGGGATTAAATATACAGTGTTAAGGTGTAAGCCTTAAAACTGTATGCCATAGATTTTTTGCATAATTATCACAGACGTATTCCTTCTGTAGGATCAAGCTTTGTAGAACCTCATTTAATTGCTTTTTGGTATAATCTTCGTGAAAATAAATGTCGTTATTATACATGTAGTTTTGGATTTTTGCTTTTGTGTCACATGAGGAAGGGGTTTTAGTCAACTGGCTACTGTGATAACTTGCATTGTCCATTACAATTACGCTATTAGGAGGAATGTTTGGAACTAGTTTGCTTTTAAACCAACTTTCAAATAAATCAGCGGTGGTGTCTTCATGGTAATCCAGAGAAGAGTATTTAATAATTTTCGCAGACAGAGAAAGTCCATTTGGAATCCAACCATCTTTTTTAAGCCTCCTAATTAAGATATCTAATGTAGGCAAGCTTTGTTCCTTGTATAACTGGTAAATTTTACGCCGTATTATATCTTCATCACTTTCATCTACACTCGAGAAAATGTCAACATCGCTTCTTTTTTTCCTCGATGAAATGGGATTATTCACAATTTTCCATACAGTTGATGTTGGAATTTTCGTCAATGTGGCCGTTTCTTCTAAAGATGCTTGCTTGCAAATAAACATTGTTTATAACTTCCTTAGTCTCGATAGAATAGTGTTTTCTACATTTGGGCAGAAGCATCTCCTGAGATACACTAGATTCGCACACATGCTGTATTACACACGAAATAAGAATTACTTACTTAAGGTTACTAATAAACTTAAACTAAGTAGTATACCAAACCACAGAATATTAAAGACAGGTAGGTATAAAATTATTTTCTATTACGGAGCACAATTTTACCTGAATATAAATTCCGAAACTTTAGGTAATCGCATTCAAAAGCAATTGGTCATTTTCTTATATCTATGAACAGACCATAACTCTATAACAACGTTGTTATTGTTGCTTCAGTTTGGTTAAGGTTAAAGCAGTGGTTTCCCATCTGTTTTGTTTCGTAGACTTTGCATATTTCTCGGTTTTGAGTATACCCCCTACTTACATGATATTGATTTTTTGTTAATTAATAACTTGAAGTTTAGTATTAAAAACTTAAAGTAAAAACACATGTTAAGTTTTAGACATTTATTAATTTAATTTAAATTAAAACTACACAAAACAGAATTTTGTATCTGTTTATAAAATATACGTAACTTAAAATAAACTAAGCAATAAGTAAAAGTTTTTAGTGGGATTGATGAACCTGATGCTTTAATAAAAAAATTATCAAATTTTGGCGTCAATCTCCTCGGCAAATTATGTCCAATGTAATATTTTTTTTCGTTAAGATATTGATAACAGCGCTAAACCCCTTTCCTACTGGGTATGACGATGGAAAGGAAATTATTTTTGCATGTTTTTTTGCAGTCAGAATTGCTGATATCCGTTTTCAAACTGAACTTTTTTTCGTTTGTACTTCATTCAATTCAATATGGGTTAATTATCCACGGTGGTATTACCAGAGTCAAAATTTTTTTTTGTTTTAATCAGGGAATTTTTAATGCGCGTATGTTTATAACAAGATGATATAATTATATCATTATTTGCAAGTTTTTACAAGTGCAAAATGTATTACAACCACAAAGCGAAGGCCTATATCTTCCCATTTACACAATTTTATAAACATATACAATAGCTTTTTTACTTTATAGGTACTATTATAGATAATGTATAGGTCTATAACATTGTATAATGCAAGTTGATACTATCAGTGCATGTTGAGATCCGCTATCGTGGACCCCCGACCCCCGATATAGACCACTTTGGGAATCACTGCAAGCTTAAAGCTTAAAAGCTATTAAGGTTGAAGCGTCACCTTTTCGAACGGGATATTCGTAATTGCACAACATTTTGGTAGTCTTTGTGTTTTCTGAATTGATTTGATTCATATAACTATTAACCTTTGAACGCGTTAAATAAGACCAGATTTGACTTAAATAACCGAAACGATAGATTATCCTATTATCTCTAAAACAAAAATGGCAGTTTGACGAAATATTAACTATTAATATTATTTTTGACCATCATATCTAAAATTGAGCGAAACTTAACATTTATTTCGTCCAAAATAAACAATAAAAATCACACACCACTATTCACTGTACAGACTGCTATAATAGTTTATAAAAAACCTTATTTATATTTCCGCGTTGTTCCACTTTTTTGACTCAGTACCCCTAAGAGCGGTGCTCGCTTATTTAGCACGCAGCGCCTTCTAGAGTAAAGGGTCCGTCGTCTTCGAGACAATTTGTAATCACGCTCCTATTCCCCCATACAAAAGCTTCTGGGAAACCAGCCCCGCCCATTCGGTCCGCAAGTCACAATATATTACCCTTATTACATTACATTATTATTATTATTATATTACAAAACCCTTATTTTGCTTATAATAACATTAAAGAACAGTTTTCAAAATCCGAATCCAAAATGGTAAAGTAAAAAAGCAAATAATAAGTTCAGCAAAAATGTTCCACAAACGCAAAAACGGAAAAGGAAAGATATCGAATCTGATAACACACAGAAAGCGATAGTTTTTTAATCAATTATTATTATATTACATCAATTTTTGGATTTGCCTTTTTTTAAATTTCTACACGGTCGCCTAGTAAATCAATCATTTCTTACGTTAAATTTAGTACAATATTTCTTAAGTGACAAACCAATGCGCCAACATTAGGAGGACTCTCTTTCAAATATTTTTGTCTTAAATTGTTCTTCGTTACTATGGGTATGCTGGGTACATCAAAATCTGAAAACAAACACAGCATTTAAAATTAGCTTAGCCAAATCGCACTAAAACCTTAGATTTCCTATTGGGGATTTCTTTAAAAATAAAGCGTCAACGAATTCTCATGCATAAACATAAAACCTAACTATACAAATTTTGATGAAGTTCAAATATAGGGTGCTCGAAATATCGCGGGCGCCCCGCTTAAGCGCTACTTCTGTAGAAGTTACTGAAATAGTTTTTTTTTTCATATAGCATCGACTAAAGTCGCGGCTAACTAACACAGTTTTTTGAAGCGGAAAATCGAGAAGTACTTTTAGTCATTTTTAACAATAACAACAGATTCGTATTCAGAACTACCTAAAGGTAACTAGACCAATGATAAAAGTTTTTAATGTTTTAAAAACCCAAATATTGCAAAACTTGTAACAATTATTTTGTATGTTATTTTAAGATCTTATAAATTTTGATTATACAAATTTCAAAAATAATGATAAAAAAGACTTCGAATGAATTTTATGGCACACTAAGTTTTTAGTTTCATCATAAAACAAAAACATTAATAAAAATATAGTATTCAAAACGAATAATGTAGGCACCAATTCTTCCAAACGGCTAAGCAATGAATGATGAAATTCGGAACATGTCCGAGAAATTTGAATAAACTCGAAAAAATTTTTTAGTTGGCAATTTAAGGTACAGGTAAGAACACAGGACCGCATGTACAGGATAGTATAACAAAAATAAGTTACCAGTAGTAGATAAAATTTTGGAAAAAACGAAATGGTTGAAAACAAAACGGAAATTCAATATTCAAATAGGGTAACCATTTTCTCTATGCATTTTTCAATGCGCTTTTAATTGTTTCTAACTAATTTTCTTAGCCCTTGTCTAGTAATGCTACGACAAGCTTTTCTAATTAGAATGAAAAGGATTCTTTTGTTTGCGGTCGTGATAAACAAACTTTACATTTTAATGTAATCCACAGGAAAAAAATCTAGCGGCGTTATATCTATGGATCGCGGTGGCCAGCAGATTAAAGGACTGTTTCGTCCAATCAAACAATTCGGAATTTTTATTTTTTGGATAGGAGCGAGAGGTTTTTCATGACTTAGTTCATTTTCTAAAATTTGGAGAAAAATAATCCCATGCAAATTGTCATGAAAAAAATACACTTCAATTATTTTTTCGCTTAAAATTCTACGCTAGAAGTTCACCTTAGCAGAATACTGTCTCTTCTACTGTATCACCCAATGCAGATTTTCTTAACTCCGCATTCTAATATTCTGAGATATAATTGTATGAAGTAAATGTTGCTTTATCAGTGTATAAAATATTGTTCAGGAACCTTGGATTTTCTAAGTATATACCCTACAACCATTCTTCCTTTCCAAGATTATGCACAAATTTGGATTTAAGGGTTTTTTTTCCACATTTTTCAACCGTCTTCAGATGCAGTTTTTGGAAATATTTAACACTTGTGTTCCTAACGCTTGATCGGGGATTTTCATTAAAATAATCAAGAATTATTTGACTTAGAGGAACAATATGATCGCGATGTTGGTTTTCGAGTTTATTGACAGTTCCGTTCTGATCGAAATGTCTACTGACGTTCAACGGTTCAACGGTAATGTGATTATGTGATTAACAATTCGGCCAGAATAACATCTATTAAACTTTGCAGCAGTTCCATAGGAAGATCGCAAACCATCACCAACTAGACGTACAATTACCACTTTTTCTCCCCCCCTAAACAAAACTGAAATATAAATTATACTGAATTTCACTGTCGAATATTCACCTCTCCAAAATCTGTTTAGTTCATATCTAATCCTCTAATTAAATATAATTTTAAGAAAATCGTTAGTGCCTTTCAATGAAATCAATCCAACGAAAAAAGAATAAGGGAAGCGTCCACGCTTTTTCAAGCACCATATATTTCAACTTTATGAAAATTAGTATAGTTAGGTTTTATGTAGTCCTGAATAAGAATTCGTTGACACTTTATTCTTAAAGAAAGCCCTAATGGCCCTTCTCAATATTTGACATCAAAAATTAATCCCAATTGGCCATGACATTTTTTAGTTTTAGTTTTAGTAAAGATTTTACAAAGGTGAACAGTTCTTAAGTAGGACATGCTGTGTGTATCAATTTCATAACTTGAATTATATGGTTTTAACTATACCTATTATCTGTCGTTGCTTTCTGTCTATCGTAAAAAACACAGGATCTGTGTTTGGGTCCCGTGAGAAAGATAAACATGCTGTAAATGTATTGTCAGTCAAATCTTTAATGCTGATCTCACAGTTGAAATTCTTAGAATATTTTCTTATTCCTTTTCTTAAAGCTGATTTGCATTCCATATTGTCCTTTGTAATAATTTCAATCTCTATGAAAAGCAAACACTAACACTCAACAAAAACTGAACATATGAACTGTATTACCCACCTTCTTGAAGTTTTAAAATTTTAGCATCTAGGTATTTAACTTGATAGGTTATTTCTTCCAGTTTACTAGACAGCTCGTTTTCATTATCTAAGGAAATAATTTTCAAGACGTATTGCTTATAACTTCTTGCCATTTCGATTACATCTTCAGAAAATTGGGTATCATTACTGTCAACTTTCCTCTCAAAGCATATCTTATCATTTTCGAACTTTCTTCTCCACTTGTCAAGATCCGAAAGTAATTTCTGATTCTTTGGTTGTTCAAGTAGCGATTTTTTAAAATCTAAAAGAAATCAAATAAAATACAAATCCCAATACAAAATTTAAAAGAAATACCCATTGCTCAAATTCAAACTCAAATATTTTCGTTAATCCATAGATTGCACAAATGTAAAGGTGCTACTTCATCTAATCGTAGTGGCCCGAATTTCAAAAATTATTCGGCCAATCTTTGGAAAGGATCATTTTTTATTGCATGCAACAAGAACCCCGTTTACGGTAAATTGGGAGTTAATCTCTAATTTATGCAAAAATGTTTGATTTGCGTAGGTGTAGATATGCGAATTATTATAAATAAACGCCTCAAGTTACTTTCCTTAAGTAGTGCGTTCTCTGTTTCAGGCCAATTAGGAAAGGGAGATGTTTTACGCACTACGTTCTTTAGTCCAAGTATTTGATATTAATTATATTGCTTGTCTTGAAGTGCCTAGAAAGTCAGAATAACAGCATCAAAAGGATAAACTATCATAGTAACTAAAACTAGCCCTAGGATTCTGTTTAAATCTTTTTTCCAGAGGGATAGGAGACATCAGCTCGCATTAAACTAGTGGAATTCTACAATTACCCCTCTTGGCTTACCGTCCTTGAGTTTGTAGTAACGACTTCTATTATTATTCTTACTTTTCTGTCTTTTTGAAATCAAATTATAGCAAATGGCAATGGTATCACAAAAGATTTTTTGTTACATTTATACAGCGATAACTGTTGTTTAACGAAAAATAGGGACAAATAGAGACGTTCTTCCAATAAACAGATCAATTTTTTCTAGGGAATTGTGCCACTGCCAGTATTTTGTTGCCTCGCTATAATGTGAGCAATTTTTTTTTCTCTCTGTACACAATTATCTGTGCGCAAACCTTTAATATATAGGAATGAAATGACTCGTAATTTTCGCAAGGAGATAATAATCATATTATTGTTTGCATGATCCGTGCATAAATTGAATAATATGTTAAGGGAACAGAGAAACACTATATGAATGACTTTTATTTTACCCTATATTGTACACCGGTGTGCTTCGTTAAATTATTTCGCTATTTTTTGCTTTTGGTCTTACCTGTTATCGCTTTATAGTACAAAATATTATACGCTAAGATCCACAGAACGAATGTTCAACATAACTATTACGAAAATATTATGCACCATAATTCCTATATATTATATATTTAAAAAAATGGTAGAAGCGTGGTCAAAAAGTGGATGGTGGACCAAGTATTCAGAAATTAGACTAATTGATTTAGAAAATAGGATATTATCAGGTTAGTCAGTTCTTTCGGTATATATTTTTAATAAAGTGATTAACCTTAACTATTTGCTATTTAGTTTTAACATCTATTTTCAAAACATGGTATGTCCACGTTGGTCCAATTGTGGGAGAAGATGATAAAATTTGGACAGTGTTATTAAACAAAGATTCCCAAAATACGCCTCTGGTTTTACTTCACGGATTTGCTGCAGGTTTGGGTTTCTGGTGCAAGAATTTTGATGATTTAGCTAAAGATCGTCCGGTTTATGCCATTGATCTATTAGGTAAGTAATAAAATGTACTAGTATATATTTTTAATATCGGGTAATCCTTTTTTTATATAAAAAATTGTTTTTTTAGGTTTTGGTAGATCTTCTAGGCCCCATTTTGCGAAGAAGTGTGAAGATTCTGAACAGCAAATGGTCGACTCCATAGAAGCGTGGCGAAAACAGTTAAATTTGGAGAAATTTATTTTGTTGGGTCACAGTTTTGGAGGATATTTAGCCACCAGTTATGCTATCAATCATCCGGACAGGTGAAAAATCCATCAAATAATTACAATACAGAATTGCCATCATTTCTACTTGTTCCATTTGAACATCAATTGTTTTTCAGGGTCAAGCATTTGATTTTAGCAGATCCATGGGGTTTTTCTGAGATTCCACCCCACTTAAACTTATCGCTAAGGCTACGAGTGTTAAGCGTTATATTATATCCTTTTACTTATTTTAATCCTTTAGCGGCAGTAAGAGCCACTGGACCTCTTGGTGAGATTTTTTGTTATATATTTCACCGTGGGTTGTATAAAGCCATTCATACTTTAAGGTCCATGGTTGGTTAAAAAAATGAGAGGTGATATATCATTGAAATATGATGATGTTTTAAGTGACAGTGGTATCATATTAGAATATATTTATCAGTGCAACTCACAATATCCCAGGTAAGAATGACAGGGTTACAATCAGCTGGTTGACAGATCAAGTGTCAAATAACGCAAAATAGTTTATATCCTCAAAACAAAGTTAGTACAGGGTGAGCTTTTTCTCTACTACACCAACTGAAAATACAAACTATAATACTCACCTTCCTGAAGTTTTTAAATTTTAACATCTAGAATCTAGATGATCAACTTGAGACCTTATTACCTTATATATAGTATTCTGTTTGTCGATTTTTAGTATTTTGTAGTTAATTATTATTATATCTCCCGGAAATATGTTCAAATATGACTTTACAAAAAAAGTATTAGAGGAAAAGTGCTTCATTAAATATATTCACAGAAGTTTGTACAGGCACCAGTGCCAAGAAACAATTTTTTGGTGTATTTTAATTTCAAACATTTTTTTACGAATTTTGATAATTTAATTTTTTAATTTTTAAATGTTGATAAAACCATTGTCAGATGCTATTCAAGAACGGTAACTCTGTAACAATCCTGACAATTCCTTTTAACTTTTTTTTTAACATAACTTTAAAACATGATTAACAAGTAGGTGCGTTGTGCAATGCCTTGCTGCATTTAGTTCTGTGGATTTTATTGCTGCATTGGAGGTCCATATTACAAACGTTGTATTTTTTTAGTGGTGAAACTGCTTTTCATAGCTTTATTTCAAAATTTGCCTATGCTAAAAATCCCATGATCCGAAGGTTTGATAAGATCAAATCTGAAATCCCTATAACTGTGATGTTTGGTCAGTATTCGTGGATATCCAAAGAATCGGCAATTACCTTGCGAAGTCAGAGACCTAATTCATATGTTAACATTGAGGTATGTATAGTTTTAATATTTGACAACTGATTTTTCTTTAAAACTATTTAAACCACTTTAAGTGCCAGTGTGTGATATATATGTAGTTTTGATTGAGAAAGTATGTAGTAGATAAGTTCAAAGTAATAATTTTCTGATAATTTATATGTGTCATACCTTATAAGTCACATAGAAGTCTTAATTCTCTATTAACCATAACATAACATAACGCGTGAGTCCTGTGTTATAATTTGCATATATAAATATTAATATTACAATTACACTAGTAAATTATTTACTAGTCATATATAATTTGTATATATGTTAGGGGCACAGTGTTAGGGTAACTTTATATTGGATAGTTTTGGTCAGTTTAACAGTGTGCTTAAATGCGAAATATTGACCACAATAGCGTTCTCTATACTACATTGTTTACGTTGCCGCACACTGCTAACAATGCCAGTAACATATACATATTTTAGTGAGTTATTACTTGCGAAATCCTCAAAGTAGGGTACTCTGCTTTTTGTCTATGATATTTCCGGTTTTATAAGATCTCACTAAATTCCAGAGGAATATCTACTAAACATATTAAGCTTTCCTGAAACTAGTCGATTTTATCAAACTTGAGGCAATCAAAACGAATTACTTGAACTACTATAAAAAGCATGGACCGAAATTTTGAAACAGGATTGATGTAAGTGACATTGACGTCACTACTACATTTTTGAATGCCATATAGATAATAGCGGCTGTGATATTTTCAATGAGAAGGGAACGATGTTTCTAAATTTCACACGAATCTGCGTCTTGTAACATTTTCTTTTCCAAACGGTGCTCTCAGAATAATTAGCGAGATATTTTGACAAAATTCTGACGTAAGAATTCCACATCTGAACATCTGAACTGAAACCAAACCAAATCAAGTTGATGAACTGTCAGCGGTCATGTTGGTGACTGAACGCCGCTAGGTCTTATTGGTTGGTCTGAAACATAAGACCTTGCGGCTTTCAATAAACAACATCGCCGCCAGCAGATCTTTGAGGTTTGGATGCGGCATTTGTACGGCAGTATTTTCTTTTCGAAACCCTATTAAATTTTAAGGCAAAAAAGGAGTTAAAGTCTGGAAAAGCAATGCAGAATTCTTTTTGTTTTTCAAGCCCTATAGGTACGATGCAATTTCTACATGTAATTTTTCATGTAAGCTATTTTGTTTTGTAAATCGACGCAATGCGTTAGTTTTCATAAACTCATCGGTTTAATCTCCATTGAAATAACTTTGAGATTGATATCGCACATGACACATCTAAGTGAAAAAATGTTCAAGAAGCACCTCCTATATTGACCAGGGGTATTCCTTATGCTTGTTCTAGTAAAAATTTAACTTGTAGCCTAATTGCTCTCTTATATTTCCTGTAATTTTTGTACACTAAAACTTATTACTCAAACATCCTTCGTAGCTATTTAAGTATGCCTAAAAATGTAGGGAATTCTGTTTAGTAAAATCACATGTAAATATTTGCATAAGTCTCTTTTCCACTTTTTTAAATGTCAAATATATAGGCCTCACTTTTTTCTAAGATCCTATTAGGTCTTCATATTTGCCACATTTGCTGTAAATTTCGTGAAAGAACAAGGTATTGAAAGCACAAATTATACAAATTTGTGAGTACGGTAAGGAGATATTGCCACCAAAAATGAAAACTATGACACGGCGTTGTTCTGCGACAGTAGGTACTACTTAGCTCAGCGTTAATCAATTTAATCAATTATTCTATTTTCCAGAAAAATTACGACAATGTAGCAACTCAGTCAGTTGGAGAATACCGCATACGCAAAAGATCCATAATTTATACCTTCTCCACGAAAATATCATAGCCAACTGCGGCGCATCAACTTTACCGTAGTAGGGTCACTATATTATCTTATAGCTATATGGTTTGAAATAACAGATATTATTTGTTGAGAACTAAATTTCAAATAACCGCACATGCGCATATTGAATGCCCCCTCTTGACATTTTTAAAGTCTTTGGTTTATCAGCTTAAGCGGAGCCTCTATATATCTGGTATTTATCTAGTAAAATTATCCTCACGCTATTCTTATACATGTTGTGGAATTTTTTTGTTTATCCACTCAATTAAAAAAAATGCCGTTGTTGCTCAGAGATTGTTAAATTGTTTGATTATTGTTGTTGATTTTGCTGCATTGAGCCATGGATTTTAAAGCCACATTAAATAATAGGGTTTTAAATAGTGTAAATACATTTATTTCATGTTTTTCACATGTAATTTTTACCTACACCTTAGCACCCCATGTTTTTTAGGTCATACCAAATGCAGGTCACCATCTATATTCTGACAGACCAAAACTTTTTAATAAGATAGTCAACGAAACGTGCAAGATTTCAGATTTGGGCTTGGACGTCGACAATACTTACGCCAAGGAAATACCAAATAATTTGCTTAACGACACGTTCAGATGGAAGTTTGACAAATATATCGAGGAAGAAACTAAAGAAATGGACGAGGAGGAACAAGAAGCCGTTATTAAAGGGGTCAAGGTGAATCAAAACACCGTAACCGTAAAATAGTAGAGATGCATTTTAATCAGTGATATTAATATGCTTCCAAGTGAAAAATTGTTTATTTATTATTTATTTTGGTGTACTATTACTAAAATATACATATACATACAATATATATGTAAAATATTAGCTACATAGTTTCTTTCAAGAGGGGGAGGTGAAAAAAACACGAAAACCGCAACCAAAACTAGAATGTGTATAAGGAATTACTCTGGAAAAAGGGAATCAAAAAACTCAATTATGCATTTCACAAAAAATGTTAGGCAATGTCGACACTTCGTTGACTTAAAAAAAGTGAAGTTGGTTATTGTCCTGGCACAAGATATATAAAAATACTATAAATAAAATATATGCTTAGGATCAAACACTTTTTGTATTTAACTTTTTTTCTCTAAAATAAGGTATAATAGCATCTTAAATGTACTTTCACCATGGGCCAGCTTTCTGAGAGGAAGTTCCAGCTGTGCCCCATCGGCCAATGCTGCCGCTGCGGAGTCCAGGCTACTAAGAAACTTAGCCCCCGTTCTCAAAGCTGAAGAGACTAGGAGCCACTCTAGCCTCGGAAATCCTAGTCCCCCGTCTCGCCAAGGCTTGTTCTTACCCCCTCGAGATTCCAGCCAGGGGGATATTTTAATGCCGAGGTAGACAAGGTGGTGGTGATCCGGCCCCGTTACCGGTACGCCTTTACCACCATTGAGTGTCAACCTGGGCTCAGCTAGGTCCTTAGTGGGAACACCTCAGAAGGCCCGGCTCTAACTGACTTTGGTATCTTCTAGTAACACTGGGATATTCGTGCCGTCAATACGAAACCCGGGCTGACTTTCCAGCGCGTCCAGTAGCCCAAAACCGATAACCAAAAACAGCTCCCGCTCCAAGGGCCATCTGGGCCCATCCGGCTTACAACCGGCGTGACCACCAGGGATGTCGGACACTTTTATATTTAAAGAAACACTAAACAAATTTCGCCAAATCTTATATATTAGTTAGTAATATAGCAACATTATCATTCGAATTTCTTCCAAAATTGTACTCTTTTGGCAATATTTTTTATTCTACCTACTGTTAATTTGATCGCCTTAATCAATGGTGTTAAATCTCCCACAAAGTACAAATGTACTAAGATCCTACCTTTACACAAAAAAGAACAATATTCATTGTTAAAGGAAATTTAATGCACTTCCAACAAAGCTAAAACTACTACTAATTAAATGACACACGCTGCTACATTTTTTAAAATTATTCTACTACAATCGTACAAGTATAGATAGTTGCATCTAATATCAAGGGTTTGTATCCCATTTGTCGATTCCCCAAATAAGAGATCAGTTGATTCCAGTTGACAACAGAAATCTGCTCGTCCATTTTTAATCCTAGCTTCTTTCCAAATACAAGGTGCTTTTATTTTAAGAGCTGCGTATTAAATAAAAAAGATATTTACTAGATTTGGGCGATTGTTGTTTGGGTTCGAATTGTTTTAACAGAAAGAAAAAATTAAAATAGAAAAAAACATTTTCCATGTTTATTATGGTTATGTACATATTAAACATTATAACATTATTAAAATTTAAAATTTGAATATATGTTTAACTCAATTAATTATTTTGAGAAAACGTAACAATAGACAAAAATGGCAATGCACTATAAATATAGAAAATGCAATAGTTATATATAACATATGAGGTTATGTAGAGATTAAGGTCTTATCACAAATTGATTGTGTGCTCCACCAGATTTGCCGCCCGGGGACTAACGTTATTTATTTGTTTATAGAAATGCAAACCTATTACGGTTTATCTTAAGCCTCGACGAAATTCACCCACACAAGAGGTGACAAGTGTTAACATTTTTGAGGAACGAAAACTCACCGAATATAATCTGGTCATCTGGTTCTGTAATTTCCTTTTTTTACACTATACTGACCAGACAAAATCAACGGACCGCTACCTTTTTGAAATTGCAAAACGAAGATGTCTTCTTTGTACGTCCAGTGAAGTCAATTTAAACATCATAGAACCAACGTATAAATAAAATATTTTTATCACTTTTTAGCTTGTTAGTATTTCTAGTAATAAAAATAAATAAAAAAATAAGCATTTAATATTCCTTTTGACATTTAAAAAGAAGAGATAAAAACTTTGTTGTTATAATGCAACTAAACTCCACCATTATTTTGTTATAACTACTTATAAACATAATCACCAAATAGGAACCAAGCACTAACAAAAGTTTCACTTTTGATTTAACGATTTTCTTCCATTTTATATTTTTTGTTTCAATTAATGAGATATTCAATAGGACGCATTTCAGTTTTACTTCTTTTCTCTATAATTTTTAGATTAGTTAATCCCTAGCCCACCCTGGCGCTGGTAAGTAGAGTTCAATGTTTTTGTTATGCATCTGCATTTATCAAATAAAACCTTTTCGAAAAAAACATTTTTTTAAATGTTTAGTATGAGCTACTGAAACATGACCAAATGGTTCAAACATAACATTAGATTAAAATAATGTTTACAATGTTAAACTAACTTTGGTGCACCTGATATGAACCACCTATATTTAACTTAATTTAATTTACGTTCACAAAAAATATTATAAAAAATTTATTAATTATCATCATCTCACTTCATTTCTTCATCTGCATTCTCTGTTTCAAACTTCTCGAATCCTTCACCTCTTGTCCACCGTGCTCTTAAAATGAGCTTAAATGTGGCCAAACGATGATCTAGCAATTCTAAGATTTTTGCTTGTTCGGGCGTCAAAATATCGCCATCTTTACAAACTTTGAAGTCTTTAATTAAAGTGACAACACCTAAAATGAACAAATTTTAGTAACAAACAATCTTTGCGATCTTTAACTGTAACCTTTGTCTAACTTTGTTGGCATTCCTAATTGCCGAAGATAGGGTTCCATTGAATGTGGAAACTGTTTCAAAGGTCCTTCTTGCAAACTTATTGTTGAACTGGCTTTGAACCCAGAACGCGCAAAATCGTCAACGGAATAAGTATCAAACCAGTCTAAAACTTCCTTTTTTTTACAGTCGGTAAACAATAATGCACACTGCCCGCGCAAACAAGCTGAAAACTTTATCCATTTTTTAAATAAAATGGTACATATTGTTTTAAACTTACTTTGTGCAAATCGTCCTCTACTTCTTCTTCCTTATTTCTACCTAAACCTATTGCTATAACTTTATTTTTCCCGAAGAAAAACTTGCTTGGTTTCCACTCTTCACGCACCTGCTTCATTGTTTCGTTTCTCATGTTTCGGTAGTCAAATAAATAAACGCTTTGGTACTTTTCAACACAATTCCTTATATCTTCAACTATTTTTTGTTTTAAAGCCAAACCTTTCTTGTTTGTTTTAGTTAAAGAAACTGCAATGTGGTTAAAAAATTAGAATCAACCTAAATGAAGATATAAAAATATTTGACTTACTCTTTTTATCCCTTTTGGATTTTGGCATGATAGAAATTTTACATCAATACTTTAGTATGTACATGCGTTTTCACACTAGTTCGAGAAGAAGGTTATATTTTCAAAAACATTGCCATATAACCCAATATCATGAAATTAGGCATAATTGTTAGGATCATTCACCCATTTTGCGACAATTGTTACAGAACAGTCACCAAATAACCAATATTTAAATTGAATGAACCTGTTTTGTTTACTGTGGTGGAATTACATGTGGCCTATCGTACCTTTCCTTGCAGGCTCTGCAGTTTCTGTAGAAATTTTTTGGGTGTCGGATTTTTTATGCATGCAAAGTTTGTTTTAATTGTGTATTTGATGTATGGCCTACTGTTTCAATTTTAACGGGCGTCCCTAATGGGCGAATGTCCTCGTTGATATTTGAAGCGTTATAATGCTTAAAATCCTTAGAAATCCAATTAAGTTGTAAAAGTTGCCAACTTAAGCGTATATGCATGCCGGTTAACGACCGGGTGGTTCAAAGCGCAAGCGAGAGATTTTTTCCAAATCGTTCAAAGACCAAGTTGCAATATATATATATATATATTTTTGTGTTATCAAGTAAGAGTATGCGTCGATCTGTTAACGAAATCGTTAACCTAAGTTGCCTTGAAGTTGAACTATAGTGGTAAACTGCCCAAATAATCCCAGCGGTTTTTGACCAATAAAAATAAAGAACCTCAATGCGGCAACACATTTAATATTTGCAAGTCAAAAAATTGTCAACTGACTATTACGTTTATTTAAAAATTACAAAAACAAGAAATATTAACAAATCATTAAAATGAATCTTTAAAAAGCAAATCAATCACACTTTTATTTTCTTGTATTTCAGGAGAATCGTCTATTTCGTTTAAACAACAATCCAAATGCGACCGCATCTGCGATTCGGGAATCAATTTTAAGCAAAACGGACAGTTGCAACAATCGTCTTTGTCGCCATCTTTCGAAGGACTTTCTTCAATGATCATGTTACTGGTATCAAAAACACTCGTCATGCTCGAACAATCCTCTAAATGCACATCTAATTCCGATTTTAAAATTTCCTTGTCGCAAGCTAAACAAGTTGTTATCTTACTTGGGAGTTCATATTCCTTCTCAATACTATCTATCATGGTCATCAAGCACCCTTCCACATGGTTATCATATTCTTTGGAGTTTAAGGCGGCTTTACATACGGGACATTTTTTGTCCTCTGTTACATCAACTACATCATTTTCAACGACGAAAATGTCATCGTTTTGTTTGAGACAAGTATCGAGATGGAAGTTCAAATCGTCAGCACTTATTTGCAATCCACAAACAGGACATTCAACTTCCTTTAAAATTTTTAGAATTTTTGTTGGTTCTGTTTGGATAGGCGATGGGTTAGTTCTCTTTTTGCCGCTTACCTCGCTAGTGGCATTGTCGAATTTTCTGAGCCAATGATTTCGAACTGCCGCATAGTCTTCATTATCAACTGGCTTTTTGGATACTAGAGTGTTCTCATTTTCAGTAGATGTTTTCCTATTGTTAGTGCAGTCTTGAAGTTTACTTGTTGACGACGATTTTTTATGTACTAAAATCGTACCACTTTTCCCTGCACTTTTTAGATTTGTAAAGCCGAAGATGTTTGGTGAAACGGATGAAACGACATTACTAATATTCACACCCCGATAATCCCCATGGACTATCTGTGATTTTTTTGGCGTCTTGGACACTGACTTTGAACTACTAGTATTAGGTTTATTTTCTTTTTTCGCCTTTTGATTCGAAGATTTGCCATTACTAGTTTGAGAATTTGTATTAGTTTGAGATATGTACTTGCGAATATCACCCATGAGATTAATTGGGTCCTTTTCCTTCGTTTTTACCTTGTTAATTGTTTTACTGTTTTTATTTTTCTCGGGTTCCTTGACCTGTTTCAAAATATCGGTATCAGGTTTAGATAATTTAATTATCCACTAATTCTAATAACTACAACCTTATAACCCTTACAAAATCCAAAAACCGTCAAGCACTAAAACTACATGCACAATACAATACGCACAAAACATGCGGCTGCCAAAATTAAAGTCTGAAGCTAAATGAAGATTTTAACCATCCTTTAAATGCAGTTCCTTCCTAAAAATAAAAATACTTGGTGCACAAAACAACATCCGTTTAATATTTTATAAGATCCAAGACATATATTTTTAAGTTACAAGGGACACTTGAAAAGTGCACCTTTTGAAACTGGAGTCACTTTTAATTTGTCAAAATTTATCTTTAGCACAAATCCACTTATAGATTTTTTCCGAGAACTTCAACCATTCTTAAGGAAATGTTTTCAATGACAACTATTTGATGTTCAACCATTCTTAAAGAATCATTTTCATTGACAACTATTTATTAACTGAGTTAAATCTGATTACTGATCACCAATTTTCATGCTCGTTACAAGTTAAATGGGACTTTTAAAGTTTCAATTTTTGAAGAATTTTTTTAATTTGTAAAAATTTATCTTTAGGGCAAGAAGCCTCTTCTAGAATAACTTCTGAGAAATTCAACCATGCCATACGGTGCAATAGCTGCATGGCATATGAGTTAAACCATAGTTAAAACTAACCAAAACTGAGAAGGATAACATGCAAATTGTAAATAAATACATTAACTGACCTTGATGAATGTTCCTCCACATTTCCTCCTATGGTCCTCCCACCAACGGTCATAGGATCCTGGTGCTCTATTGGTAGCGCGCCGCACCATTCCAAAATAGGGTTTCCACTGAGTACATGGACCATCGCATCTCCACCAATGCTGTTGATACAATCGAACTTCATCATGAAAATCGTGATAAACTGATATATTCGTCCCAGCTTCTTGGTTAATGCGGTACATATGCCTGTGAAATTCTGGCCCATGTCCATCTCTATCCCTATTATTATGAGTGATAAACAAATATGCATGGATCATTTCATGGAGCAAAGTTTCAACTAAATCCTTCCTAGGTCTAAGCTTTAGCAAAGGCTCACTGAGTGTAATGGAGCACATGCCTCCCCTTCCTTGATAGGAACAAACCCCAGCACACATAGTCATTCGCGTGCTCCATGATACTACCACCGATGCAAGGGTACCCCAAAAAAATCTTTCATTGAATGCCATAAATAGAACATGGACATCAGGAGTAGGATCTATCACCTCCCATGAAGGATCGACCAGACATTTTGATGGATCATTTTGGCAAGACTTTTCATACACTAAAGCGTTTCGCGGTCTTTCAATCTCATGTTCTTTTTTAAACTGTTCCTGCAATTCCCTTGCCAAATGGTAATCGGAACTGTTTCCACTAGTAACATCACCAGCTTCCTTTCTGAATTGCTCCTGAAGTTGGAGAGCCAACTTGTAATCGGAGGTAGAAATTTGATATTCCCGCTCGAACTGATGTTGAAGGAGCAAGGCGGTTTGATAATCAATTTCCGCCATTTTTTACTTAATTATTTTTTAGTACAATGCGGAAACGCCACATACATTTAAAAAATTAATTTACTTTAGGTTTTCGAATCTTCTTCTTCTTAAATTTCTTCTTACTGGGCTAGGCAATTTTATCAGGGTAATTTATCCTAACATTTACCAGCGCATATTCAATATGAGATAGGCAAGGTTAGAAATCCCTGAGAAAAAGCAGGGAAAATGTATAGAGTTGATGAGACTAACCAGAGGTGTGATCTTTGTGATGGATATAAATTGCGGCTCACTGATCGTTCAAGGAAAATTGGGTACGCACTCGCCCGATGTTGTATTTCTGAGACCATCCTATCTCGTCTCTGCGCTATTGGTAATAGGGATGATATTCTGTTGAAATCGAAATTGGAATAATTCGAATAGTATGCGCCAAAGCATAAAACCTGCATATATATTGTTATGCTATAGAAGCGTCCTTTTGGTGTAAATATCCATCTCTTAAAAAAAATAAATTAAAAATCAAAACAAAAAAAATCGAAACACACCAATCTGGTACAAAGTATACTACTAAATAAAACTATATTTTGGTAAGAATAAATAACTGTTTAGAATGTGGTGAGTGTATTGAGTTCAAAAACTTTAAAATTCCTGCGATTTCTTGTGGATGTATATAAACGTCATTGCATCCCAATAAGTGGCCAATTATAGCATGAACAATACGTCACCCGGATACTTTGGCATTTAAATACCTATTGCACATGTGCGGTAAATAAATTTCTTGTGTTTAGCCATGGCTGGTAAACTGGGCAATCGTAAAGTAGTGCTTATTACAGGAGCAAAGCAAGGTAAAACAACGACAGCGACGCCTGAATTAGTGCAAAATTGAATATTTTGGAGTAGGAAAGTATGAATAAAACAAGATTTTAACACAGTTCCCTTTAAGCATACTGGAGAAAGCTTGGACCGTTTTCAAATTTTTGTTTACTCAAGCGAATACAATCTAACGTATTTTCAGTGGCGTTGCCGCTTCTTCGAAAAAGTAGCATCAACTTCGATGTTTTAATATTAAAACGTTGATAACATTTGCAGGTATCGGATACCAAACTTCGCTTCAATTAGCCCATAGAAACTGGAAAGTCATTATGGCGGATAATCAAGATCTAAGCGACGCTAAAGAAAGGATCGTCAAAGCAACACTGAATCGTACCGTGTCTGCCAACACTCTCGACCTCTCGTCGGAACGTTCAATAAAAAAATTTGTGACTTGGATGAACTCAAACGAAGAACATCTCGATGTATTGATTAACAACGCCGGATTATTTACGACGGGAAATGGAGCCGACAACCTGGAAAAACTTCTCTACGTAAACCATTTAGGACCGTTTTTATTGACTTATCTACTAACAGGTAAAGGTGTCTTAAATTATCATAACTAAAATTTCAAATAAAGTTAAAATAACCAATTATTGGCTTATTGGTATTAGCATTGCTATCTCCTTTAAGAATACTTATTGGCACCTGGGGTATAGGGGCTCCAATCGAGTAAATTGCTAAAATAAATTGTTTTTGTAGATGTGAGAAGTCGAAAAGCACTTTAGGGTTAGTTTTATTAAATAGGACGACCTATTATATCCTTCTCTTTTTTTCTCGTCATTTTTTGGTTATTTTTGATTACAATGGAAATGCTTATTGCTGGGTTCGTTGAATATTTAGAAAGTTGCAATCTTTCAGTGCCTTGTGGAGTAATAACTTTTGCGATGTACATTGAATTTAAAAAATCATGAAATTTCTCTTAATAGAAAAACAACATGAAAAAATAACCGAAAAATACTTTTGCATATCACCGGCAACGCTGCGGCGTGAAAAATCAAAAACCTATGTGATCAAAGTTCCAATAGACTCCGTCCGTGTTACTAAATCCTGCAGACGTTTCGCCAAGATCTCGCTTGGCATCTTCAATGCTCGCGCTCCGAAAACACCTTATATATAATATATATATATATATATATATATATATATATATATATATATATATATATATATATATATATATAATGTTGAAGAACACAAAGAATGTTTCAGGCGAAATGTAATGTTTATATTCTTTCTATCTCGGTTAATTATTCCCGGAGTGCGGTTTATTTCTGGTGTGAATTTAAAAAATGAAAAGTGCACAAAAGTCTTAAAATTTCAGATCTCTTGAAGAAATGTTCACCTAGCAGGATAATCTTTTTAAGCTCGTCGGGTGCGTTTTTCAACGACCTAAATCCAGACCTAAATCCAAATGCTCCGTATTTTGGATTAACGAAGGAGTCTCTTAAATGTTTCGGAGTACTTAAAACTTACTACAATACTAAAGCTTTGAATATGCTTATATCAAAGGAGTTTTCCCGAAGGCTGCAGCAATGTAACGTGACGTCGAATTGTTTGCATCCAGGAATGACGAACACCAGCTTTTTAGTTAGGAATTGCGATATGTCATATTTAGCGAAAGTAATATTCCAAAATTTGGTCAATTTCACCACTCAGGTATGGCGTTTCATGAAAAGCTTCAAAGTATTCTTTTGATTGTTGTTTAACTGCGTTCGTTTTAGGATGTTTCTGAGGCAGCTAAGAATGTTGTTTTCATGACCACCTCTCCCACACTAACCCACGTTTCTGGAAAATACTTTGCCAATTACCAAGAAAGGCGTCAACCAAGAATTTTGGACGACGATGAGTTTTCTCGTCGAATATGGCAGCAATGCGAGCTTTTTTTCGCCTTATCTAACTGAAACTAAATGGGAAAATTGTTTTAAATTTGGATTCTATGTAGCCGCATAAATTAAAATTATCTCATTGAAAAGGTCGTGTTTACTTAAAACCCTTTTTTTTCGTTTCATAGATTTTTTTAGTATACATTTTGTTCAAATTAATGAGTGTTGTTAACACGGACATAAAAAAAAAGAAAATAAGTTATATTTTGAAAGGTCTTTTTTGATAGACGATTGTAATCAAAACTTTAAAATTTTCGACAGATGTCGGTAATGAGCGAGTGTTCCTACAGTGTTTTGCAATAATAAAAGGCGAAGAAGAGCATACATATCGTCTGTCACTGACCCATGAAAGAACTGACAAACGACTTACTGCGATATAGATCTCTGCATATAACCCTAATATTTTCCTTTTTGTGTTTGCAAAAATAGTTTGGCACATTTAAATTGTCCTGCTGAAATTTGTAACCAAAAAATATTTGTTAAAAATGGTCGTGGATAAAAGTTCTACGTCTCCGAATGCACTGGAACAATTTGTTATATTAGCAAAAACCACCAAAGGGGCTGCTTGTACTGAATTAGTAAAGCAGGCGCTCGAAGCTCCCGGTGTTTATGTTTTTGGAGAACTGCTTGATATGCCAAATGTTTTGGAGGTATTGTGTGTGTACTAGTTTTTAGCACTTTCATTTATGAAAAATTGTAACAGTACCTGATCCTCCTGATGACTACATTTTATTTACTCTATGATACGTTTTTTTTTTTAAGTAAAAATCGTTTATATTGTATCATGTGTCTTAATTCTATTCATGCTCAATTAAGGAAGTTACACAAATATATGATATTGTAAAAAATGCATTAATACATCAAATTTACTTTATTTCAGTTGGAGAGTACACATAAAGTTTACCTGAATACCTTAAATCTGTTTGCATATGGGACTTACAAAGACTACATTTGCAATCAGAAGGATTTTATTGAGTTGACTCCATCTCAGAGAAAGAAGCTTCAACATTTGACTATTGTTACACTTGCAACTAAATCAAAGGTGAGTTTTCTTTGATCATTTTGTAGGAAAACAACAATTTTTGAACATCAAAATTCCCAGAAAATTTCTTGATATCACTATTAATGGAGGTTCCTTATGGAGAGTATTACCTCAATGAATATCTGAGCTGTGAATAAGTTTCTCAATTGTTTTTCTCAATTTGATTCAACCCAATTCAAATGCTGCTTTAGCTATAACACTGTCAAAGTTTTGAATGAACTCACACAACAGAGACCCAAAATATACCTAAAAAATTGTTCTCTTTCTCTTTAATTTTGTTTTTGTTAATTTGTTATATTCCTTTTTACATATGGTTTGTAAGCTTTTTTGTCATAGCAACTAGCATTTTGGTCTTATTTTTTTGTTCCTTTTTTCTTTTTTCTCATCTTTTAAAATCAAGACTAGATTTATCTGAGACGAGTTGTTTGCTTTAATGATAATAAAAGCTGTTTATTATTATACTTAGAGGTTATTATTATCTTCCTGCTAAACAGATTATTTCTAAAACATGTATCCATATTTATTTATTTTTTGTTAAGACCTGTACGTGATTTGTCCTTCATATCTTTTGAAAAATGTGCAATAAAAATGATCTATGTAATTGTTTGAAGTTTAGTTTTTGTTATATGTGAATATTTATAACATTTCAGTGCATTCCATATGATAGTTTGCTCAAGGAGTTGGAAATTAAAAACGTTCGCGATTTGGAGGATCTAATAATAGAGGCTATCTATGCTGGTAAATTTAATAATTTTTTGAAAAACATTTCAAAATTCTTACTACTTGCTGTTTTTATGGACAGATATCATCCATGGAAAACTGGATCAGAAAAATAGCCAATTGGAAGTGGATTATGCCATTGGTCGGGACATCCGACCTGAAGATATAAACGTTATAGTTAATTGCCTTCAGGATTGGAGTTCTGCCTGTGAAGGAGTACTCAGTTGTGTTGAAACGCAGATCCGAAGGGCTAACGCTGAAAAAAATACTGCAATGCTGAGACAAATAGAAATTGAAACAGAGGTAATGGTTAAATAAACTTAAAAATCAATAAATTAATTCAAAATATTTGAAAGCAAGTGCATAATCCACCAGATGATTTTAATACATATAATTCAGCAATATAATTTTAAACCTGAAGTAAACAATGTGAAATAAAACCATTTAATTTTGTGCATTCATTCAGTTAAAAATATTTTTATATTCACACAGGGTTTAGTATAAACAATTGATTTAAAGTAAAAAAATAACTTGCGTTTTTAGATTTTGAAAAAATCTTCGTAGAAAAATGCTTCTGGCACCATTTTTAACTAAACATCAAAAATCACATGTCTTATTCATATGGTGTTAATATTATTAATTTTGCAAATTTTTAATGAACATTTAGTTCATGACCAATTAACTGGAGTTCCCGTTGGTTTGAATAGAATTTGCCATTTTAATTTTTGTTTCAGATCTCAAACATTAAAAAAACCTTGAAGACGCAGCTTCAAGAACGCGCCGATGGTACAGAAGAAGTAATGGCTACAGATAGCCGTGAGGCAGCCTCGGCCGGAGATAAGGGTAAAAAGGGCCAGAAAATAAGTAAAGGTAAACATAGCAGCAAATTTTGGTTAAAGTCTTAGGATTTTTTTTGGAAATGGTTATCGATAGGTCAAATTAGACTTGTTTGTAATGATATCATATTAGCTGGGAACAAAAAGTATAGTCCAAACACATACCACACAAAATACAGGCCGGTCCGAATTAGAATGGAGCAACTTTAATAGCCTATTCAGGGGATAGAAACAAGTAAAGGGATCATATAAACTTATGTCGTAAAATTTCTGTTTGAAATATCGCGAAAAAAAAGACGTTTTTTCGTATTTTTACAGAGTCTCTGCTAGGTTATGCTTGTAAACTTGGTAGGTATTATTGCCACTTAAAAGCAAATTTATGGCATAACTGAACTTGTTTCTATTAATTCTAATCTATTATTAAAACCCGTGGCGTTTTTGAGGATGTAGGTGTTCCAACAAAATCCATTCTGACTATCTGGTTTCCTAAAACCATATTTATACTAGCGAATATTTAAGTTTCTCATGTAGTTTGGGGGGTATGTTGGACCAAAAACCCAAAGGAACGTTCCTCCATTCCTTTTCCCAACCTATGACATTATTGCAAGTGGGTATCATTTGGACTGTAATTAGGCGATAACGTGTATATTGTTTAAGAATGCTTAATTGACTGTGTAAGGTCCAACGGTTTAGAATTTATCTGTTATTTATTGTGATGACTATGCGTAGTTATTTACCGAAATATACCAAAAAAAAAAAGTTATAGATATTTTTGTACCCCTTTTTATCCTCCTTCATCAGTGAAGAAATGTTTAGCAAAAGTTAGTTCATTTCGTCGACAGAAAAGATAACCGAGTACCATTTTATTTCTTAAAGGTTGTTGCAATGATAATCATTTTTTTGGTAGGTAGTTAAATTTTCCTCTAACCTTTTTTAAATAAATAAGGGTAAAAAAAAACAAATTTAGAAAATTTCTCCGGTTATTTCGTAACTAACCAAAATTTATACCCAAGCGTATTTTTCGATTTGACTTTAGGGTATTTATTTTTTGCATTATTTTTACCGGAATAACCAACTCCAAAAAGACTGTCCTACACAGGATTTCGGTATTTTTAAAAATAGTGTTAATTTTCAGTGTTGTAGTGGTTTATATTGGGTGACCTAGAAGTAAGACATCAAAGTAAAACAGGGAATGTTAAAAAATAAATTTAGTATCAAAGTTAGTCATTAAATAATTAATAATGTTTTTCTTTATTAAAAAATTAATTCCTTAAATCATTAAGTCGTATCATGCAAAATATTTTTTGAGTTTCATTTTATTTGAATCTTTAAATGTTAAAAAATAAATTTAGTAGCAAAGTTAATTCTTTAACTAATTGAATTACTAGTAAAAAATCTAGCGCAATATTTAACATTTTTTGATCATCACAAAAGTATTTATCTTTAAATTTAAGAAATAAATTTGTGTTTTTTGTGAATCTTTAAAAGCTACAAAAATAAGTTTTGCAGCTATATTAATTCATTCAATAATTCAATCATTACTAAATAATCTAACGGGAAATGTTTTTTGACAACAATCAGAAGGTTCAAACGCGAGTTTCTTAAACAAAGTCTTCTTCTTCTTCGAATAACTTTATTGAGTATAATGTCTCAAACACTAAATAAGACAGGTACACGTTATTCGCACATTAATTGGAGGCTATATTACAATAAAGTCAAGGTGTTAATAGTATCACTTATCGCTACCTTGACAAAATATCTTTTTACTTTCTAGGTATAACATTTCGCCGCTAATATGACCAGAATTCCTGCATTGGGGCTCATTCAATGACAGGTTAAGGTCATATTTTTTTCCCGAAACGTGTATAGATAGACCGCATAGCTTTTAATTTATTTTTCCGTGTTTTGTTTTCGATTATTTGTTACAATAAAGTGTTAGATAAATATCGAGTATTTTGGTTCTCGACTAGAGCTCTTCGAGAGGACAGTTTTGTTAGACGGGTTTTAATTAAATTTGTATTACCAGTTTTATTTTCCCTTGATACTGGAAAAATTTGCGTGCCTTAGCCGAACAGAATACGGGTTTGCATTGAAAAAAAAATTTGCAACAAGCTGTCACATTGCAAAGTCATTATCTGTTTTATTTAAATAAACTTTTGGCTAATTGGTTCGATCCGGCCCTATGTTCGTACATTTACATTAATAACAACAATATTTTGCTTGAATAAATATTTTCGTTTTTCACAATTCGACAAATTACTTATTTCGTATTTTATGTACAGTTTAATGTATTTCACAGCACCATTAAAATTTCGTAATTTATGGATTTCTAGTTGGTATTAAATCTACTCTTAAGTCTAACTTACAATCGATAAAACTTATACCCTGTCAGAGTAATTACAAAACTAATTAACATTATTTTTCGTATTTCTACAGCCGTTTCAGAACAATCACGTTTTTTCTTTAAACCGGTCCAATTTGACGCGATTGTGTGGAAAATTTATTATTCGTCTCTTTTCATCGCAATTACCAGGAGATGCAAGTTTTAAAAGTAGTCCTCATTATAATTTATTCTTGATTTGATTACTATTAATTTGGGTAAACAATATTGTTGTTTAATGGCTTATGTTTTGCAGGTAAATAATAAATAAATTAAAAATAAATAAATAAGTTAAAAATAAACACATTTTTTTGTTTAGTAGAACAATATCGATGGATTTTTGGCAGCTACCTATTTTAATCAAATTCAAAATAAAAAAAAGTTTTGCAAAATATCGCAACGTCAAAGGAAAAATCCTCAATGAAATATTGGTAATGACATTATTAAATCTTGAGGTATTTAAGATTTTTTGTCATAAACTAATTTATATATAGAAATAATAAAATAAAAGAGAAAATTTTATATTACTAAATAGCGTTAAGGTATTTTTGTACAGCGTGATCCATGTAAGATGACCTACTATCCAATCTGAGAAATAGTAATATCTACAAAAACAATGACACATTTCCTCATTTTCAGTTGAACAACCTATATGTTGATGCACATTCGGAGAGTATGTTTCAAGACTTATTCAAAGTGATAGTGGATGCCTGTGACGCGACTTTTCGTCGCCATAAACTGTTTTATTTATTTTAGAATATTTTGAATACCTTTCAATTTTTATATATACCGAATAAAGGACCCAAGTTTATGTTGTGTTATGCTACAAAAGGAAATTTTTAAGTGATAACCATTCGACGATGTTGCCACGATTCGCGTTTTGTATATTTACACTATTTTTTAAATGGCACCCCCTGTATGTGTCGTAACTTGTAATTGAACATTAAAAGATAATTTAAACTACATATAATGGTAGGGGTCTAAGCTTATAAATATATTAATATCATTTTATTTATTAATTTAGCTTTTATTTGGCTGGTTAAACAAAGTCTAAAGGCGTAATATACTTTTTTTCCGTTTTTGATTTTTGGCAATAAAATAAAGTAAATAAGTACGATGCTTCATTATTTTAAAACTTTTATTATAGACCCCTATTATTATTTAGTTGAAATTGTCTTTTATACTTAATTTAACTGTAAAGTAATATATAGTGAATGTGTCCACTATGGGATAGCACGGGAATATCGGAAACTATAGAAGATCTCTATCTCCTTTTAAGTTAGGAAAGTTTTAAAGAATATCGCCATATCTCCAATCTCCCACATATTGGGCACACTGGATAGGGTAATTTTACAAAACGATAAAATCTTAATGGTTTTAGGGTTAGAGCACCTGAATGTTTCTTACAAACCGTCTGAAAAAAATTCGTTTTCTGTTGTGCTTAAAAATGTCTGATATTATTCTTTCTATACGTCATCACCAGGCAGTTTTAATAATTCGCCCGCTATAGTGGATTTTACAAGGATCCATAATCATAATTGCCTTACCGTTTTTAACAGTGCCAAGGTTCAAAAATACGCTGAAACTAAATTACCGGCTTATAAAGACTTATGGTATGTGAAGCTTATCGTTTTTAGAGATAAAAGAATTATTAAATTTGTGAAACTAATTAATTCTATTCTGCATCAAACTGAGCAATCACGTAAACATTTAGTATATTTTTGATATTTTTCAAGATATTTGGTTTGTTTATAGGGAACTCGAAGTCGGTAGTATTATTTCAATATCGAGTTAGATGATTTAAAAAAGAATCAGGCAACCACAATAGTATATTATGAAACTAGTGTGGTAAATGGCCATACTTTTTCTACGACCTTTAGTTTTTGGATACATTTTGACAGTGACATGACCCTCAGAATTAGTAAACGTGAAAATTCAAGCTGTGGGAAAAATCTCCGAAAACATCCTATCGCTAATTGCGATGTCCTTATTGGGTCTTAATCTGTGGGAAACGAAACTAGCGTGGTAAAATAACACTTTCCGCACCCTAGATCAGTGGGTACTTGGGCATTTAAGAGAAAGGAGTAGAAAAATAATTTTTCAAGAGCAAAACTTACAAAATAAGTTCGAATAATTATTTTGCTTTTGTTTGATATATAATTGAGATCTTTATGGATAAAAGAGAAAGATTCCAAAGAAAAATAGACTAAGCGCGGGCAAAGGAACATAAATTATGTTCTCCGCATCAATGAGATTCCATTATTTGGAAGTGAAGTATGCGTTGGTAATACTGGAGAAGTATGACTACTGTATTAAAAAGAATGTTAAGTTTACCGGCACTGTTTTGATTTGGGGATTTATGTTAGCAGTTATGACTCCCTTTTTTCTAAACCTTTTTTTTAAACCTCATTCTCCCCCTAGTTCATTTCGTTGATTTATATTAAATTTTTTGCATTTGCGACAAATTTGAAAATGTTAATGTAGATTGTAGAATCTATAAGAAAATATGTCAATAGCACCAAGACATGAATTTGAATGTTTCTGAAGAATATTTTGGTCAAATGATAAAATATCTTTCAGTTCCTTCAGTAGTAGCTAAAAATAATGCAAGCATATAGATAAGATTAGGAGATCTTGACTACTTGTTCGGTCGATTATGGCTTTTTATAACTTTCCCGGGGCACCTAATACATAATGCCTAATTTTTATTCTGTTGAAATAAAATTCTTTCGTTTTTACGAGTATACTACCGGGACATGTTTGATACGCTATTTTTAGTGTTGAAGAAATGATGATGGCAAAACACGTAAATTGACCCACACCGCACTAGGACTGGCATGGCAAATAATGAAAGTGACTTAAGTATTCGTTGGCTCCCGCGCAATTCATCATGTCATTGTAAAAAATCTTTATTATATTTATTATTATATATGATAAATGTTGATGAATCTTGCGAGAAGCGAGAGAATACTGGCTATAGGATAACTTGTTTGGTTATTGGTTAAATTTGTTTATAATTTAGGTTGTTTTATTTTATCGACCAGTCAATCACAGTAAACACACAATCATTTCCGACCATGGCGCTCGTTTTGCTTTGTTTAAATCAAAACAAAATATCTTAAAAAAATGCTATGCTTCCACCTTGTATTGAGTATTTTACCTTACATAAATGGATGTAGCTGTAGAACGGAGCGCTAATAAAATTCGATAAATAATTGCGCGGCACTTATATAACATTAAAAATAATTAACAACTATAAACAATAACAATTTACAACAATATCTTACTCAGCAAACGAATCGAAAAGTGTTTTCGCTTTCCCAACGTAAACCATTGACACTTTTTGGAATTTCTTACGAATGGAAAGATAAATACTTGTGTTGGACCGCTTACCAATATTTAGCAATTTTTGCCCACCACGATAAGTCCGCCCCAACACCGTATAATATTAATTAATTATATTAATATAATAATAACATTAAGTAAATGGAAGATTTCAGGACCCTTCGTTGATATATAATAAATACGTTCGCTGGGAAAATAATAGATTTATCAACAATGTTTATAAATTTTGATCTTAAATTTATATCTGTTTGAAATGAAAATTTTTTTATGGGAAATGGGGACCGAAAGCATATAAACAATTACTATATCTAAATCAATATTCAATTTTAAATAAGAAAATTTGGAGAAAGAATCATATTTTTACATTTATTTATAAAATCCAGCCGTCGATAGCTTCTAAAACGGTATAGTCGCACCCACAATATCAGAAATGAAGGAAAATTTAAGATTTCACAACATAAAACTGCTTCATTTCAACAATCCTTTTCTTATTTTGTACCAAAATACTGGGAAGATATCCCATCAAGTGCGCAGTAATTTAGCTGCTGGATGATCAACGATTCTACAAATTGCTTTCGTTGGTGTACCCTAACCAGTGGATATTTTTTTGTATAGTCTATCTCAATCTTAATCGTAGTGGCTTTCGACGGACCCTCCTCACTAAAACTTTAACGGTGTTATTATTATTGTTATTGGGTGAAACCATTAACAAAAATTTAATGTTACTTGAGTGACAAGGGAGGGGTGGGCATAATCGTTTTTTACTGTGCGTTTATGTCGTGTTGAATTTGTCGTTCGATGAAAAACAGGTTGCGGAAAATGTGTGAGACGCCAAACCCCAATATCAATATTATTAATAGTGAAGAATTGAAGAAATGGAATAAACGCAGTGATTTTCCAATTCACCGTTTAGACATTAGTGATCAGGACCCAATAAGAAGCAAAATATATTGTCTTTTTCAAAGCGAAGTTGTTCCTACCTTGGATAAACTGAAAAAAAAAGCTAGAAGAAGATGAATATAAATATAAGCCGTGCGAACCTCCATAGAGTTGTTTGTAAAATGGGATTTAAGTACTGCAAAATAGACAAAAGGCAAGTAGTAATGGAATCACACAGGTTACGCAGATATAGATTGGACAACAGATCCATAATTTACCTTGATGAAATATGGTTCGATACACACGACACTGTTTCCAAAGGATTCTACTCAAAACTGTCAGACGAAAGCACCTAAAAAAATCACAGGTCCGAGCAGAAAATGTTACTCCTACTTTAAGTCCCAGTGTTATAAATTTGATAGAAAAGGTAACGAACAATATACTAATTGAGAGCTGGAAAAATTGAGTACAACACATTATAAAAATTGAGGACTCTTACATTTCTATACAAAACAACATAAATCCTATTATAATTAATTTCAACGACGATGTAATGTATAATGTAATTATGTATAGATATTTCTAGCTATGAATTTATTGTATATATTTAGCAGACATTTCTTCAGGATAATATTTTGTCGTATATTATTTTCCCTATGAGTTTAAAGTGACTTCATCTTAATAAGAGTATTTTTAAAAAACCTCCCAAAGAAAATGGACCCGAAAGCTATCCCACACTGGCCACTGTGGTCCTTCCTTACATTCAAAACATTAATGACCACCTATCAAAAGTGTTTAAGAACTATAAAGTTAAAATCAGATTTCCTACTTTTCCAAAAATCTCTCAATATCTTCGATCTGTCAGACAAAGTTCCGTTTGATGTACCAGGAGTTTACAACATTTTACGCATATGCGACAAATAATTCATTGAAGAGGTAGGACGATAAATATCAATAATGCTAACAGAACATCAAAGACCCTTAAGACTAAACAATTGCCGAATATAATCATGAAACCGGACACTAACTCTTTTTAGATCAAACTACAATTCTTGTATATAATTAACTCGTCTGCCAAAGAAAAATCCCAGAATCTTTCACTAATATGGTCATTCTAGGCAATGTCGGTGTACCTCCTTTAGCTCCGCTATCCTTAAACAGTATATAAACAGGTACAGAGTAGAATGCAGACCAGTTTCAGTTAAGATCTGAAGAAGCCAACAAGATGATTAGCGAAACGTGAGCAAGTTCGATTTATCAAGAACCGACACAGGAGGCATCCAGAAGATTTGTAAATAGTGTTACAGTAGCCTGTGGAAGTCTCTTTGAAAAACACCAGAAACCAATGATTCTTGTCTTCTGGATGTTATTGGGTTGTGATTAATACTTTTTCCATTTTAACAATTTCATTGTTTTCAATCGTGAGTGAAATTGTCAATAAGTCTTCTGCTTCTTCTTATTGGAACGGGCTCAGACGACTTTTGATTTTTTTTTCAGAAAAGTCGATTTATCCACACCGCATCCAACGAAAATGACCAAAATCACATTTATAGTAAAAAAAATATTTATGATTAAAATTTACTGCTGATCTGTTATTCTCCCGAGCGAATGTGATTAACGAAACGTTCAAGCCGTAATATTAACATGAACGGTTATTTAGATATTACATTACCATACCTATTTTACGAATATATCTACTCTCTGTTAAGAAGACGTATAAAACATGTTTTACACCTGCACCGGATCCCGTCTAACCTTTAAACTGGAAGTTCTACTGACCGGACGCTGCTATAAAGACAACTCTTTGATCTGTGCGGGGAGTACTGGTCCGTTAATACTGCAGTTATTGTTAAATTTTCCTATGTTTTCTACTGAGCAACTGTTTAGACCGTTGGTCGGCGTGGTTTGGGTGCCTGAGTCTTTGGTTTCGATTTTCGTTTTAGCTTCCATGGAATCTGAAATAAGTTTTCAAACATTCACTGGTGGGTTTTAACGTAGGTCCACGTTATTTGCTGCGCTGATTGTTGTTCGATTGAGTGGACTGTATTTTTCGATAACTTTATTTTTTAACTTTTACAACTTAACAAACTTTTACAACTAACAAACAAAGGAAAAAACATATGAAAATGAATAACGAAGCTTAACGTTTGCTAGCACGGGTTGTAATGTCGAGACCCAGCGTCCCGTGGTCTCTCTTAAGGGTCGGCAGCGCCGATCCCTTTTTTGCAGGCAACCTTTTTTTTACGGTGCTCGCGATGTTGCCGTTGCTGGGCAGTTTTGAGGATTGACCATCCCGCCGGCCTTGAAATGTCCAGCGGACTTCAAAGCGCAGAAGTATTGATCTCGTCCACGGGTAACGGGCATATCTTGTTGATTGACCGCTTGACTATTCCGTTCCTTGTGCGTATGGAAACCACTCGCACCAAGTTGTCGGTTCCAGGATGGACTGCTACAACGCGACCCATTGACCATTGTAACGGCGGCAAATTTTCGTCCTTGAGTAGAACTAACGCATCCACTTTGATGTTTTCGCATTTTACGTGCCATTTTCCACGCTGCTGCAAAGTATGGAGGTAGGAATGACTCCAAAGCTTCCAAAAATTTTGAACCAATTGCTGCAACTGATGGAAATTTTTCAAACGATTGCTGGGAATTTCGGTTACGTCATGTTGAGGTGTGGTTAATAAATTTCCACCTATTAATAGGTGCCCTGGCGTCAGAGATTGTAGGTCCGTGGGATCACTTGATAAGGGAAGGAGAGGTCTCGAATTTAAGATAGCTTCAATTTGTACAACGACTGTATATAGTTGTTCGTAATTTAACTTTGTTTCACCAATTACCTTTTGTAAATGATTCTTAAATGACTTTATAGCGGATTCCCAAATTCCACCGTGATGCGGAGATCTCGCGGGTATAAAATGCCAAGTAATGCGATTTTCCAAGAAATAATTACTTTGAGTTTCATTGTTAGCAGTTTGAGCAACGCTTTCGTAGAATTTGTGAAAAATGTTATTCGTACCCACAAAGTTTTTAGCGTTATCGCTGTAAAGATGCTTTGGAAGTCCTCGACGGGATACGACACGCTTAAACGCGTCCATAAAGGCTTCAGAAGTAAGACCTGTGATTATCTCTATGTGAACCGCTTTTGATGACAAACAAACAAACACCGTCAAGTAAGTTTTGATCAAAATTTTTGTTCGAGTTTTGGATGCCTTAGTAAAATAAGGTCCAGCTAGATCAATTCCGGTGAATGTAAATGGTCTAGAGGGAGTAACGCGAGGTTGAGGCAATGAACCCATTTGTTGACTTATGTTAAAAGGTTTTACACGAAAGCATACCATGCATTTTCTCAAAACGCTGCGGATCTGGTTTTTTGCGTTCAGCGGCCAGAAATCCTCTCTTATTTGCGCGAGAATAAATTGGGTACCAGCGTGTAAATATTTTCTGTGATAATGTTCAATTAAAAGCCTAGTGAAATGATGTTTGCTGGGCAAAACAATTGGATGCTTATGATTAAAAGCAAGATGAGAATTTTTCAAACGTCCTCCTACGCGCAGTAAACCAATTTCGTCGATAAATGGACTTAAAGCAAGCAACTTGCTGCCTCTTGGAATGTTTTGATTTGAATTTAAACATTTAATTTCCGTCTGAAAAACTTGATGTTGAATATTGATACATAATTTGGTAATTGCATTGTCAAGCTCACATTGAAGCAGTGTATCAAATCGCCTTGCCTTTTTGTGCCTTAAATTGTAGCCAAATCGCAATACATATGCGGTGATACGAATCAATTTTCGATAAGTTGAAAAACGTTCTATTAAGCCAAGATTATTTAATAAAGTAAAAGATAAAATGATGTTTTCTTTTCGCGCCTCAGGTAAGTCGGGCATATTAACAATATGCGTTTTAGGAAAGGAGCTTTCTTCCTCGATAAGAAAGGTAGGACCTTGAAACCATTTTTGGCAATTCTTTAACTCCGATGGGTTTAAACCACGTGAAATAATATCAGCTGGGTTATTTTCCGATTCAATGTGTTTCCACGATGAATTTTCACTTAATATTTGTATTTCCGAAACCCGATTCGAAACAAATGTTTTCCACTTGTTCGGTTCCGAATTAATCCATGAAAGTGTTATCATAGAATCTGTCCAACAGGTAACTGAGGAAATTGGGACTCGTAAAATGCGTACTACTTTCGACATTAACTGGGATAAAAGTAATGCGCTTGATAATTCTAGTCTAGGTAGTGTTTGTGTTTTTAAAGGTGCAAGTTTCGATTTTGCACAAATTAAATTTGATTTTCTTTCCCCATAGGAATTTTCGGACAATGCATAGATGCATGCGCCGTACGCGTGCATGGATGAATCGCAGAAACCGTGTAAAGCAATTTTAGTGTAGTCCGGGCTAAAAATTTTGCGATCAATCTTTATGTCATTCAACGAGTGCAAGTTTTCCAAAAAATTTGACCAATTTTCTTTTATGCCTTGCGGTACTTCGGAATCCCAATCTGCTTGGATTTGCCAAAGTTGTTGTAGAATTAATTTTGCCTTCACCACACACGGGTTAATGAGGCCTAAAGGATCGAATAATTGTGCAACACCGGAAAGTATACTTCGCTTTGTAATTAGATCGGCTTTAATAGATAAATTAAAAGCATAACAAAGCGTATCACTAATCGGATCCCAAATAACCCCTAGAGTTTTGGTCTCCTCGCTGCTCCTTATGCAAAATTCTGAATTTGTGTTAAAATTATCATTTTCTAGAACACTTAGATCATTCGATCTCCACTTACGTAAATTAAAACCTGATTTTAACAAGGTAGCCGAAACATTTTGCTTAAGTTTTATCGCGTCAGAAACATTTTCTGCGCCCGAAATAAGATCGTCAATATAAAAATCTTCCATTATGATTTTTCGGATTTTTGGATCTGTTGAATTTCTCCCGATTTCATTGAGTGTACGCGTTGCTAAAAAACTTGAACTTTTTAGTCCATATGTAACCGTATTTAAATTAAAATGAGCTATTTTGTGCGAGGGATCCTCGCGCCAAATAATTCTTTGCAAAGGTCTATGAATTTTGTTTACTGAAACCATCCGATACATTTTCTCGATGTCCGCCGTAAGAGCTATCTTGTGAGTACGCATTCGGACAATAATATCAAATAAATCACTCTGCACCTTCGGCCCTAATTTCATTACTTCGTTTAAACTTAAGCCTGTTGAGGTAACGCACGAGGCATCGAAAACTACGCGAGCGCGGGTGGTGCAACTTTGATCCTTAAAAACTACATGATGTGGAATATAATATAATAAGGCGGGTTCATTTACTTCCCTTTCAGTTAAGCGAGTCATGTGACCCATTTTTTCATACTCCCGTAAAAAGGAAATATACTGAGCCTTTGTGTCGGGTGCCCTGGCTAGCCGCTTTTCAAGAAAATGTAAACGTTTAATCGCCGTCGGCAGTGATTGACCTAATTCGACATAAGAATCTTTCAGCGGTAATTTTACCTCGTATTGTCCATTCGAATTGACTCGCGTATTTTCACGGAAATGGATTTCACAATCGAGTTCCTCGTTAGACAATTTTGAATGTGGATTATCGACGTTTTCGAGTTGCCAAAACTTTTCAATTTGTCGACTTAACTTGTCAACATTAAGAAAACATTTACTATCCGATTTATTGTCAAAGCCGTTACATTGCATTGGACCAGCTAATACCCATCCAAGTTTTGTATTTTGCAATATGGGATTTTTCTTTCCCAGTTTCATTTGACCATAATTTAAAATGTCAAAAAATATAGTTGCGCCGAGTAAAACGTCAATGCCTTGCGAAATGTTAAAGCAATCATCAGCTAAATGTAAATGGCTTGGAATACTTAGTCTAGTAACATCTAAAGAATATTGTGGCAATTCAGATGTTATCTGGTCGACAACTAGAAGTGGCAACGATGCCTGGTATTTATTGTCAGTAGAAATTAACTGCGTATCCACTTGAAAACAGATGTTGGAGGGTGATCCGTTTATACCTGAAATTGACAAGTCCAAACGTTTCCCTGGTAACTTAAGTCGCTCAAAAAATTCTTTAGTACAAAAGTTAGATTGACTCCCTGAGTCTAATAGCGCCCGACAGGAAATAAATTTATTGTCGCTGTCAAGAACTTTAATAACCGCGGTGGCTAATAATACCTGATTTTTATTTGGCAAATAAAAATTGGATGTTAAGGCGACCGTTTTGTCTTCGCTTATATTATCGATTTGTGGTTCGTTGTTTTTGACATTTTCATTTATTTTGATTTCGAGTTTAAAGTCAGGATCATGCAACATGGTGTTATGGCGTTTATTGCAAATTTGACATGTTTTTCCCTTGCAATCATCCGCTTTGTGGCCGATTTGCAAGCAGTTTGTGCATATTTGAGCCCTTTTTAATTCGCTTAATCTCTTTTTAATTGACATGGCAAGCAATTTGCGACACCTATATGTGACATGCGTGTCCTGTTTACAAAAAGAGCATCTGAATTTAAATTTGGATTGGTTTGAATGCTTTTCGTTATTAGTTACAACGTGAGAATGCGTTTTGTCCTTGCTAGCAGATTTATTGTCTATTGTTTCTAATAATTGACATTTATTTTTAAGAAAATTCAATAAATCTTCTAGTTTCGGGCTTGTTATCTTGGTAGTGGAAGCTTCCCACTCTTTGCGAGTTTGATTATCTAATTTGCTTATTGTTACGAATATTATTGGAGTGTCCCAATGATTTACCGGTTCATTTAAATTTTGTAGCGCGCGAGTATTTCGCTGAATCGTATCGATTAGCTTACGTGTTGCTACGTGCGACTCCCTAGGCACCGGAGCTAAATCAAAAAGATTTTTCATATGATTGTGAATTAACATTTTTTTGTTTTCAAAACGCTCTTTTAAAAGTTCGATCGCGACGTCATAATTAGTTTCGCTTAGCTCTAATGAGTGTAAGAGTTGCGCTGCCTCACCTTTCAAATATGACTGCAAATAGTAAAATTTTTGAACATTTGACAGGTCGATTCTGTTATGTATGACTGACTCATATATTTTGAAAAATGGTATCCAACCCTCGTAAGATCCCGAAAAAAATGGAACATTCATTGTTGGTAAATTTGGAAGTACATTATTAGAATTGCTTACTTGTTGAATTGGACTTTCGGTTTGTCTGCTTGCCATCGCAAGCTTTTCTAGTGACTCTGTCATTGCAGAAGCTTTAGAAACTACCCTGAAATAGTTGTCTTCAAATACATCGCGTTCGTTGACTTGCGAAGCATCTAGTATTTCTAATTCTGATTGAATTTTATCGAACTCTTCCCATGTTTCTTCTATCTTTTTTAGGCGTAATTTTAATTCGGATAAAGATATTTCTTGTTGCTCAAATTGGGAAATTCGCGACTCGAATTTTGTTAGCCTAGCTTTTAGAATACCCCTTTTATTTATGAGAGATTTCGCGTTTAATGATTCGTTAGCTTCCGTCATTTTTCTCGAAATTTAATACTGCGCACGTACAAATCCGAATGACAAACTAGGAAAAAACTAACTAATAAATTGAAAATATTCGAGAGTGAAATGGAATTTTTGGAAAATGGAATGGACCTACTTGCTCTTTGTCGACACCTGCCGTCTGCTGGTTGCCAACCGCTGTACTCGCTTCAATTCTATTCGACGTAATTTCGCAGGAACCTCTAATGTTTGTCTTCTCCACTCGCTGGGACTAGAAGACTTCTAAACGATATTTCAATCCGGTTCGTAGGACCAAAATGGTGGGTTTTAACGTAGGTCCACGTTATTTGCTGCGCTGATTGTTGTTCGATTGAGTGGACTGTATTTTTCGATAACTTTATTTTTTAACTTTTACAACTTAACAAACTTTTACAACTAACAAACAAAGGAAAAAACATATGAAAATGAATAACGAAGCTTAACGTTTGCTAGCACGGGTTGTAATGTCGAGACCCAGCGTCCCGTGGTCTCTCTTAAGGGTCGGCAGCGCCGATCCCTTTTTTGCAGGCAACCTTTTTTTTACGGTGCTCGCGATGTTGCCGTTGCTGGGCAGTTTTGAGGATTGACCATTCACTACAACTTATTTATGAACTAGGTATACTTTACGTAATATGTAATAAAGTATGTGTAAATTATTCAAAGGTTTGGAAATAAGTACCTAAATGGTAATTAAAGAAAATGCCATAATAATAGTCTTCAATAATTAAGATTAATAGAGTATAGTTTTCAGTTTTTAAGAAATACCTCAAATTGTTCCTAGGGTCACACTAATTTGCATACACTAGAAAGACGAATTTGTTAAATGGATAATGGAATCAGTATTTTTTGGCATATTATTAGCTTTCCACGTTCTTTTTTCTATTTCACTCATATGTTCGACGCACTTAGTCCATTTTTCAAAATCCACTGTATTTATTCTCTCTCTCTCTCTATTTTAAAATCGATGTTATGCCTTACTACAAACCCATACTGGCGCTTATACCAATTCTAGGGGGTTTTTAATTCACAGTAATATGGTGGAATGCCAAGTACAAAAATTTATTCAAATTTACAATCTCCAACATCAGCATTCATGTTTTAGTGGTTGTCTCTAGTCTGCATTAATTGAAATTCTTTTTTCATTCTTTTTTCTATTGAAATCACATCACTTACTTCATTTTCACAATCCACTGTCTTGATTCCTTCTCGCAGGAGGGTTTGGAGGCCCCTTAATTTACCTTTTTACATATGCCCATACCAATTCTTTGAAAGTGTGCCTCGTGCTTTTTAAATTATTATCCTACCATTTTTTACCAACTGTATATTCTTTATTTAGCCATATTTCCGTGTTCCCTTCAAAAGTGTCTACATAATTGCTCTCAAAGTCGTCTTTCTCTATCTGAACATTTTATTTCAAATATCGCCTGGACCTTGTTTAAACCTTCAAAGTAGAGACTACTCTAAGCAACAAATTAATTTCGAAAAAGCATGCGTGTGAAGGAATCAAAACTTTTAATAGTCTTCACCACTTTTAGCATTACTCAACAATGTTGATGTCCAATTGCCCATTTAAAAACAACTAATTGACCTTCAAATGGCTTCGAAGGGCAAGATTAAGGTGAAACTTATTTTGGGCCGTAATCGAAAAGTTTGCATTCTCTTAACTTACCTTGTTCCACAGGCGTAACGGCTTGTTGGATTTTTTGGTTTTGGTCGCAGGTAGCGGCTGTCACCACCACAGCCGCCATCATGCTCCCCGAACCCGCAGTAACCGAACTTTTGTTTATGGCACTGTACCTCATCGGCATCATGCTTTGTCTCACGTTCCGTTCGGGCCTTATAAGAATGATGTATAGCTAAAAAAGCAATCAGTACCTAATCAAAACCCTGCCAACAGAACTTTTTCAGTTGGTGTTAGACATGGTTGTATTTTGTCACCCATGTCTATTTATAGAGAAGATTTTCCAACTAACTTTTTAAATGCAACAAAAAGGCATACAATCGTAAGTTATATTCAATAAGATATCTAGATCTGCCCAATATGCTTAATAAGGCAGAGTCTGAATAATTTTTCACAGGTTACTACAATACTGTTTACAAAACTTCTGGATTCCTCCTCCTCGGTTGAAGAAGCCAACAAAAATCAATGCAGGAGGAAACCAGAATTTTTGTAAATAGTAGCAGAGTCTGATTGTGAACATCAGCGACGAAGGAGTCAAGATGTGAATTGTAATGGCGAAAAACACATTTTCAAAACTTAAGAACCTTCTCGTTTCTGCATTGCTGTGTTCTCCTGTATGGTGCAGAAGGTCTACCATCCTACACTAATATGACTTGCAGTAGAAACCTGTTGAACATCGTAAAACAGATGAATGTGTTTCAAGAAGAAATCGTTATTTGATGCCGAAGCTTATTATCGAAGTTAAGATAGAGGGGAAGCGTAGTCACCGCAGAAAACGACATCACTGACTGTGTAACAATCGAGTGTAGAGTAAACCCAAGGCATGAAGAAGTGAGACAGCTCACATGAACATACATCTTGTGTATGGGACCATTTGAAGAAGGGCATTTAAAGGATAGGAAAAATACTATTAGCAAGTAAATTTTCGTCCCAACCTACCCAGGAAATATTTTATTACACACTTGCTTAAAACACAACATACAACAACAATGCATTACCTTGGGAGAAAACAAACAAGCCAACGTTACGCTCGCAGAAAGGCTTATCGTAACAGACATGCTGGTGATCCTCAGTGCTACGTGGTTAGCCGTTCCAAAGTACAGTGGTACAAATGCCAACCAAATAACGCACGTAGTATACATTGTGAAACCTGAAAGAAGAGGAAATAATTTATAAATAAATAATAAAAGAGAATTTGTTATTTTTACGTACTGGTCTCCAAACATTGAGATGTTTCTAGGAAAAAAATATAACAAAAAAAAGTTTTTACTGTCAATATGATTTATGAAATGTCCTTTTCTGGTTGCACTTTAATTTTGGAAAGGCAGAAGTCGTATATATTAAAAGGTAATTATAAAATTTGTTCCCTAATATTTAGGCGAAGGTCTTGCAAGGTTTTCTGAGAAATGTTAGTTCATAATCATGATTTTTGGCAGCAACATTGTTCAAATTACTACTGAACTGTTTAAGTTAGTTAAGTTAGTTAGTCTGCGTTATATAGGGTATCTAAAGAGAAAGAAGGAAATTTCAAAATATCTTATATTGGCTTGAATGGACTAAAATAACAATTTAAATGACAAATGACATGGTTTTTATTTCATTACTATTTTTTAATGGAAAACGGATCAATAGCGTCAACTTTTCTGAGCAATTATCCCTGGATTAACAGGGACAGCATGAAATAAAAAAGGGACATTACATAAAAATAAATTGAAATATAATGTTTTGATATTTCTTCATTGTTCTTAAATATTTGAGACACCCTGTCGAACCTTGACTTGCTGTATTAATTTAAATAGTTCTTGAAACTATTATTTTTACAGAGACGTTGCAATAGATATACATTCACATTCACAAAATCGGCCACTAAAAACTGATTAGATTTGAATTTGATTGATATGCCGGGTGCACCAATGAATTTTTCGAGAAATTTGAAACACGCCGTAGAATCCAAAAGCGCCGGTAGCTATTGTCAACTGGAAACAGTAGGCCATAGTCTTTTCTAAAACTGTTTTTTTTTACAATATTTAAAATTGCAATGTGACAAAAAGAACATAAAGATTTATAAAATAAAAACATTTTATGGCTGGAAATATCTAATTTGGAATGCTCGGACGTAACTTTGGAAAAAAAAAATTGTGCAATGGCACGAAATGCTTCAGGTTGTACAATTTGCAGATCATGAAGGCTGCCAATGGGGTTCTGTGAAGGTGTGGGCAGGAATTTCAAGGGACGAGTGGTTAATGAATATTTGGACGACGTGGGTATTCAACTTGCTTTACGCAACAGCCTTCATGATCTGCTAATTACTCTTTAGGAAGAACATCATGCCATTCAACAAGAGTTTGCTAGTTTTACATAAAGAGACCACACTGGATACACCGGTCAACAAAAAAACAATTTTTTTTGGGTTCCTGTTCTCATGCGTAAATTCTAATTTTGGACATGAAAGAAAATCCAAATTTCCATTTTTATTTCACAAAGTTTTCTTTTGTCTGATTTACGTCGGTCAGTATACTTTAATTTATTTTATAAGCCAAAGATTGACTTGAAAATAAACTATGTAAGTAGCATCAAAGTTAGTAGTAACTCGCCTATCTCAGCTGAAACAACTGTAGTTGTGTATTACTCTGTTAGAAAATGGCATCAAGACAGTGTAAATATGAAGTTGATTCTTTTGATTTTATTTATGGTGAATGAATTAAAGTTAGAAGTAAAAAATTTGCTTTGTCAAGAAATTTAAAACTTTGCGGAGCCTATGAAGCCTATTTTAAACTAAAAATCAGTTATCAGGATGAAAATTGGGTACACTTTGCCTGCATTTTGCCGTTATTACATATAAAATTAGGCTTAATGAAGCAATTTGTGAAAGCTCTTAATCCGACTTTGAGAGAATTTTTCGTTAGTTATCTGAAGCTAAAGTTTAAGGGGTTCTTTTTGTTGGAGCACAAATGAAACAAATAATGAAAAATGATGACTTTACTAAAGTTCTTAGTGGTTGTGAAAAACGAGCATGAAAGAGTGTTAAAGCAGTAGTTGATGGCTTCCTAGGAAATCGTAGAGCTGACATTTATAAACAATTGATGGAAAACTAACCAACTAACCAAAACTTGCTTCAAAGCAGAGTGTCTCATAAACTTCGTATGCTAAATTGTCATGTAGACGAATTTAAAGATAACGTGGATGTTTTCACCAAGACTTTAAACGGCAGTACAACGAAAATATGATGGGAGATTACATTTGGGGTTTAATTTGAGAGAGCCCATACGAACATACACGAAATACGAAAAATATTCATTATTATACATATATACTATATTATTGTTTAATTAAATAAAAAAGACAATGATACTAAAAAAACGTTTCTTACCGTAAAAATGAACAATTGCTCTCATTCCAACAAAAACAAACTTTTTAATTAAAAGTTTTTTTTTAATCTTAATGTTCTATTTAGTATTTTTAAATTAAACTTTAAACTAAATTGATGTTTATTTGGTTACGTTTTTACAGCTTAATCCGAGACGTTTGCTTTGAAACAGTGCATTTCCAATAAAAACAGCGAACGTTTAGAAAAGAATTTGCTTTCAAACTTTTGAAAAAAAACTTCAATAACAAAAACTTGTCTAGTTTTTAGAGGCCGTTTTTTTTTTTTGCTGGTGAGTGTAGTTTCTGCAAAATGGAAAATAAAGGGTGTTTTTTTTCGATGTATAGAACTTTAAGTTGCAATAAAACAACGATGGATTACTCGATTGACATGAATTTTATTTATCCGAAAGATAATCTTGTGGCATTACATTTTAATTATGATTTCTGGCATATGACCGCCACGGCTGGCGCGGATGCAGTCCAATCTGGACGTCCAATTTTCGATGACTTTTTCCAACATTTGTGGCCGTATATCGGCAATAATACGGTGAATGTTGTCTTCCAGATGGTCAAGCGTTTGTGGCTTATCCGCATAGACCAATGACTTTACATAGCCCCACAGAAAGTAGTCTAGCGGTGTTAAATCACAAGATCTTGGAGGCAAATTCACAGGTCTAAAAGGTGAAATTAGGCGGTCACCAAACGTGTCTTTCAATAAATCGATTGTGGCACGAGCTGTGTGACATGTTGCGCCGTCTTGTTGAAACCACATCTCCTGGACATCATGGTTATTCAATTCAGGAATGAAAGAGTTAGTAATCATGGCTCTATACCGACTTTATACCGATCACCATTGACTGTAACGTTCTGACCATCATCATTTTTGAAGAAGTACGGACCAATGATTCCATCAGCCCATAAAGCGCGCCAAACAGTCAGTTTTTCTGGATGTAACGGTGTTTCGACATACACTTGAGGATTAGCTTCGCTCCAAATGGGGCAGTTTTGTTTGTTGATGTAGCCATTCAACCAAAAGTGCGCTTCATCGCTAAACAAAATTCGCTTATGAAAATCGGGAACAACGGCAATCTCGTTTTCTGCCCACTCGACGAATCTACGCCTTACTTGATGATCGTTTGGCTTCAATTCTTGTAGGAGTTGGATTTTGTAAGCACGTAAACCAAGATGCGAGTTTTCAATAAGAATAAACGTGGTGCGAAAACGTTCCATGGTTAATCGAATGAACTGCTCTGATGGACGATTTTGTCGACGATAAAATGGACGTAGTGCACGATACGTATTCCGCATAGAACCATAATTTTTGAAATAAAATTGCACTATTTGCAAGCGTTGTTCAGGCTTGAGTCTATTCATGATCAATTGCCAAACCAAACTGAGAATAAATCACTTGACAGCTGTTAAATCTGTCGCCATCTTGAACAGTAATGATAATTTAAAGTTCTATACATCGAAAATAATAACCCTTTATTTAGAAAACCTAAGTGTAGCCATAGCTTAATCTTGAAGACAATATGTTCGGAACTGATGGTGGAATTCAAATATTAATAAATGTATACTGGGTTCTATAAGAAAAAACAGAACTTTAATTGCTTCCATCTATGCGGCGTAAAAGTAATTTCAGCGTATGCGCGTCGTGCTGTTGAAAATCGGCTATTTATCATAAGAGACAACGCATATCCCATCATTTTGTTGCCTGAGATCTATCGATAAATTTAATGGAGATAGAATTTGATTCATTAAGTGTGAAACTGTACCACCATCATCGCCCAACGGAAAAATCGAATGTCACGCGTATTTTTATCTACGATGCGGATCAACCACGTTTTCAGATTACAGGGTCCGCGAAACGTGTACTATTGGACTGGAATGACCATAAATATCATATGCATTACGAAACTGAAACTGTGTCAATGTCGAAAATATTGATCTCCTGTAGCTGTTACGAAGGAGTGTATACACAAGAGACGGGAACAAATAACGGGACTCGTAATATACTATTACCCCGATTCTGAAATTTTGTTTCGGTTAGTATAGGAAGGTCACTAATAATTATAGAATGAATTGGAAATTGGTTCGACAAATGTACTTAACGTTTTATTTTGCAGGGATCATGATATTGATTAAATTCGAGTTTATTGAGTTAAGTTGAATATTGCTTGGATGTGCCGTTTGCCTTCTTTTTTATTTTTTACAATTTGTGTTGTGTTAGAATATTATCGTTGTGTTTAATAAAGTTTTCCACCAGTTTTTCGTGGTAACAAATTATAAAATTGTGTTGAATTACTAGTGGCAGTTGTTGTTTATTGCATGAGAGTATAATTTTTGTTGACATTTCGTTTATTGTAAAAATATTGTTAGGGGAGTTGAACATAACTTTAATGCCAGAGCAGTACTAGAAAGACTAATAGACGATCTTGGAGAAAGACAAACTTAACTGTAGCCTTAAGTGCTGTTGATGAAAGAAAATTTTGCAATGCTGTTCCTCCACGTTACAAAATTCCTGAAGCTACCTTGCCCCGTAATGAAAAACGCGAAACGCGAAGGGGAGTGTCTACCAAACATGGCGAAAAATACCGAGATCCAAAGTGGACTTACAAAAACCCAACTTACCAGATTTGCTTTTGCCTATGCAGAACAGAGCAATATACCTCATAGATATGTCAATGGGTTTTAGTAAAGTCGCGGTCCAATTCTGAAATAAATTCACGAAAAGCATAATTTTGATGCAAGCCGAATTTATAATGCAGATGAGAGCGGATCTTGACGCGTTGCAAGAATAGTTACGTCAGAGCGTCGTAAAAATGCCACCTTTGTCTGTTCCGTCAATGAATTATGGAATGATGTCCCTCCTGGAGTACCTCCACGGGTAGAGCTCAATGGAACCGCTGGATGTCTACTAAGATATTTTTGAAATATTTAAATCATTTTCCACGGCATACTAAATCTACGCCAGAAAGATCAGTTATTTTACTAGTCGATAATCATTCCTCCCACATTTCATTCGATGGCATAAATTCTTGCTGAGAAAACGGAATCGTCATGGTGGGATACTTACCCCGGGCTACTGACAGGTTCCAGCCTTGAGGCGTGTCCTTTTTTGGATCTCTGAAAATATATTTTTTAAAAGAATGCGACTCATTTATTGTCAGTAATCCTGGTCAAGGCGTGACTGATAAAAAAATTAGCCGAATTTTTACTAAAGCGTATTTGAAGGGCGCAACGGTTGGAAGTGCTGTTTGATCCATAAATTTTTGGCGAAGCAGATTACGCCGCAGCTGAAACATCAGAAAAACAATTTTCTTCAAATGAAACTGTGTCAATAGCAATTTAATTCACGGACAGGCACCAAATAACTGGAATATTCGTGGGAAGATGAATTGCTTTTAATTAATAATAATAAATCTGAGGAAAATTGTGTTTGCCCCTCCAAGGGGCGGGAAATAATAAACACGTGCAGGCTCGTAGCTTTATGATAACAAATAATCGCGACGCTCTACACACCTTGAGGTGTCAAGAGTTAAAATTGCGAGCAATGACAATAAAAATAATAAAACGGGAGATATGATATCGTTGTTGAAAAGAGTGGCAAAATTAGAGGTTGAGAAGTAGAAAGAGAAGATTAAAAGGCTGAAAAAGCTCAAGTGCTATAAGAAAAATGGAACCACGAACAAGAAAATAAGTCAGTTAATTAAAAGATCAAAAGATGAAAAAACGTTATGCCCGGAAGCTATAAAAAAATTAATTTCGTTACCATCGCCAACTTACCCGAGTTTCCCCTATGCAGTTTTGCCTGTTCAATATAAACATGGCAACATATTGGTTAGTATAAATTGCTGTATATTATTTAATTTCTAGATTCTGCGCAATAAATAAAGTAGATCTATTCGGGTTTCCCTTTATCAATGTCTTACCGTTATCAAAATAAAAAATAATTTCCTCCATTTTTATACAGTTCAAACCCTTGGAAAATTCTTAATGGTTCCGTGATTTAATTAAATAGAAAGTCGTAATTTTCCAAACGTTTCGGCTCAGGCATTCTTTCCATTTCAGATGGAACATGCGTTTCAAAAACAAGATTTTGTACGTGAGTTATGGGAAGACAGTATATTGAGTTTTTTAAATAAATTGCGTTCAAGCTTCCATATACCTATCTCTTACCGACTTTGAAATAAAAATTAATGTTCATGATTTGTACGTAGAATCTAGAATTATTGCGAAGAAAGTGTCTCACATAGAGAGAATGAACGTCCTAAAACCTTATTTTCATTTAATTTTAGTTTCTATCTTTCTATTGAAAGTCAATAATCAACCAATCAAGTCAGAAGATTCCTTCCTGTCAAGGTATACAAGTTATAACAACTGGTTCGGAACACAAGGAAGATTCTTATCTAAAAATAAGCCTAAAGACTAATAAACTATGAGAGGAATTCTAAGCCTCAAAATAATTATTAATCCTGCTTCACAGCTGATCAAATTATCAACTATTGCTGAAAATTGACCCGTTAGAACTAAATACGATAATTCAGAGAATACCATCATCGGACAGAATATTTCTTTTTTTTTATTACCAATGAATCTGAACTATTATCCACTACAAATTTATTATTACCCTTATTCGCAAAAAAAATTGTTAAAAAAAAGTCGGGGGGCTTGAGTTATTTGACTTAACAGTAGAATGTTCATTTTGGGGTGACTAAGAGGATTGATTGATGATAAGTACCAAATTATATTATGTCATGCTCTATTGCATTATCATTTAAGTTTAGATTATTATAATTGAAGCTGATGCCGAAAAACGGCGAAAGAGTTGAAAAGAAATTAAAATTAAATGAAAATAAGGTTTTATGAAGTTTATTCTGTCCATATGCGAAACTTTCTTCGAAATGACGGTATTTAATGTTGATATAAATGTCTATTTTTTACTATTGGTTTACTCGTTGAGAGTGACTTTATAGTGGCAAACTAATATTCAATAATAAAATCGTGAGACTTTTGAATGTGCATTTTTTTGTATCTGTTACCTTTACATTTTGCTTAAATTTTTCCATCTTCTGTGCAAAAAGTAATGTTAAATCCATTAATCTATAGAGAGCAAGGATCTCTAATTAAGTTATTAAAAGCCCTCGTAATCCGAATTTGCATACAAAAAGGGCGGCTTAATTTTCATTGTTCTTTAGTCCGCATGTTTCGCTGCTGTCGATGCTTCTCTTTAATGAAGCACCCGTAAATGCAGTTTGATCAGATCGAGAACAATCGTCCTTTCAAGGCAATGCAGTTTGTGGAGCTTGTATGCTTGACCCTATTTTCGCTCAATTCTAATTCGATGTTGGACCGCGGAGATGAATCCTTTTTTTATTACGTATCGCTTTGACCGGATTAAACGCGTTTTTCCCCTGGTAATATGTTTTGCTTATCAGAAGAATGGTCTAATATCAATACCTCATAGAGCAAAGTTATTGAAGTGGGGTTAATACCGAAGCCAAAATATAACAATCAAGCCAAAAATTGGACATAATGGGGGGTGTATTACCAAGGGCCATTTAATATAGCACACACACAAGTCAATTTGGCAAGTATAGTGTATCAAATAGTTGTTATATGTTATATATTTTTCTAAATATCATAACAATCCTAATAAAATTAATAAAAGTTATACGGAGTGTTGCTTTAAATAAATTACGAGATTAGTTTATATATAAAAAATTGTTAGTAAAAAGTAAAAAAAAAAACATATCAATTCGTTGTTATTTTTGCGATGCGTTAATGCACAGCCGTACAATAAAGCAATATTGTCACCCTGTATCTAAAAATCCAAGTTTGTGTCATCTTCCATTTCATAAAATAGTTGGCCCAACAGCTTAGTTTTATTAATAAGGGAGGTACGCTATGAAACGACCAAAAATGGCACACAGAGTAGACTTAAAATAAAATAAAATAAAAACTTTTTATGCACTGAATTACTAGAACGCCATCGGAGAAACTATATAATTTTTTTTTTATAATACTGTTGACACCATGGCGAACGACAAATACCAATATATTTAAGACATCAAGTTCCACAGGCATGCAAAATGCAAACATTACTTTAACTGCAGGCAAAATGGACGCAATTCCCCATTTTATTACTCTGTGCAATTTCGAAACGGACTATAATTCTTTCACCGATATAAGGAGGATATCATATCTGGGAAGTGAGGTTTCGTTGAGAATTTACGACGTCGTTACACCGCCTCTTGCAGAACTTCATAATTGACGGAGACTATCGTTTATATCACATTAGTCGGACATTCATTTAGTTTTCGCAGTAGTTGCGAATTAATCGGTACGAACTGCAGTAATTGCAACTGGTCGAAATAGTCTGAAAACTCTAATACCGTTTTCTACTCGTTTGTCCGCCTCGTTGATCGAGGCGCCTGCTAAATTTGTTACTGCCGCATTTTTTTCTCGCCACGAGTAGTTCGGATTCGCTCTAGAATTGGCCAATGTATCTTTCAAGCAAATTTGATTGCACTTACCAATATGTTTGGATTCGTTGAATGCTTCTGGGATTTTCCGCGTCAGTACCGCGTAGACCGTGCAAACTATTATGAGAAAAATGGGATATGTAAATGCTATCATATATGACGCGTCTATATACGACGAGCACACAAGTAGATTGTCTTCCCGCGTAGGGTAATGGTGGATTGCCTTGGCGGGAGAGATGATCATCCAAACGCCATTGATTAGAATCTAAAATTAAAACAAATATTCAATTTTTGTGGTGAGCAACGAGCGTATATATACAACCCAACCCTATTTTACTATTGTGAAAAAAAACACGGAAGCAATGAGTTTATCGAACTTGTATGTACAAACTCCATGAATTATTTGAAAGTTCACTAGTTTTGATTGGCATAAATTTGAATAACCAAAGGACCGTTGACAAGGACTGATGCCACCTTCAAAATGTTAATTGACACACCCTGTATTTATTTAAATATACATGATGCCTTAAGGGTATCCATTTTAGGTCTTCATTATACTTTTTTAAATATTCTCAAATTATTATTATTCTTGTTTTTTTTAGCCCATATCTTTTAAATTGGAAAATTAATTTTAGATTAGGCTTTAGATGTCAACTTATGTTGTTAAAGTTAAATCGTTAAAAATGGTTTTCCTAGATGGTTTACTTTGCCACTACTGGCGTTTTCTGATATAATTCGCAAAATGTCAAATTTTATAAAAAAAAAAAACACCCTTACCTTACAAAATTATCCAGTTGCAGACATTATTACTTTTCGCTATTTTTGCCTGCTTTCAATCAATTTTTTCATTAATAATTTGGTTTATTCAACCAACAGAAACTAATAAATTGTTGAATACTAATCAATTTTATTAATTTATGGATAATTTAAGTAGTAAAATGTGTAACAATCGGTATTATTCTTCATTCCTAACGCTTAGATTTCTAAGAGGTACTAGATTAGAAGGGAGACATCAATCAACTTTCTTACCACAGTTTCCCAGATCCAATATCCATTTTCCAAACCTTATTTACAATATGTGTATTACCTTCAACAAACTTTCATCGCACTGTGATTTATATTATGATGGTCTCCAGGCGATACTTCGGTAACTTCGATTCGCGTAGGATGATCCGTACTGACAAGTCTCTTATCCTTTTCTTTCTTCTTCTTTTTTTTTAGTTATAAGATTAATAGATTTATGATTAGTTTTTATGTCCCCTGTGTATATATATTTAACATTTTCTTTAATGTTCCCTATTGAAAATAAAGTGCTATTATATTAGACATTAATAACAACCCTAAATGTGGAAATTTTAACCAAAATCCAACTTTTTTTGCGCGTCAAAGTCTTTTAATGTTAATTCAGGTTAAATAGCAGTTAACAGGTAGAGTCTTGTTTTTTTTTTGTAGATTTTTTTTGTGATTTTGTCAGAAAATGCCACTTGGTAGAAAGGTAAGAAGAATGATAAGCCTAGCCACTTTAACCATGGTTAATATTAGAAAAATTGTTTAAACATTCAAGATTCAATAATTTTCAGTAATTTCTCTTGGCCGATTTAAGTTTTTTTTTTAAATTTCCAAGACCACTCGCTTTCATAATACGTCGTTGCCCCTTACAATATAAATTACCGTAATAAATAATATTCCAACTATTATGAAAAATGTTCCATCACATGAATACGCATCCTCTCTATTAAATTTCGCAATAAAATGTACGTCATGTATAACGGAAATGTATTATCACAGGGGAGATTCTCTTCGCGATGATAACAGAGGACCCCTATCCAAAATCTCCTTGCAAATTTAATTTTAAACGAGCAGAAGCGAGAGTGGAAAGAGCAATCTCAATATTATTATTTACCTGAACCCCCACTAATCCTGTACATATGATGATCTGCGACCTGGGCGAAATGAAATTGGGTCGCTTCGCTGAATGTTTACCGGCTTTGAAGATACGCGATATTCTGTTGGTTTTCGTCAGTAACGCAGCGTACACTACCGTGAAGCAGAAGCCTGCCCCAAACCTGAAAATCAAAAACAACCTTATCTCAAATCAATTCTCCTAAATAAATATACTTCATAGAAATAAACATGTTTGTAGTTGTTCTATAGTTCTATTCGTAAACATTCGTAAGTTTGATCTTATTTTTGGGAACTTCGAAGCGGATATTATTCAAAACGTCATGTCAATATCAAGTCGTGCTGTGATAGAGCTTGGATAAGATTTCATATTCATGGAGTGGTGCAAAAACGTCTAGAACGTCATGGTTCTATCAGAAGGCTTCAAAAGGAATCGGCACGAGCTAGGGGTCAAAGTTGAGTACTCAAATTATATATATTTCGTGGACTTCAGTTACACACAAGAAGACTATTTAGCTCTGCACATCGTAGAGCCCACAATCATTGGTTTGACACAATGTTTACACATGAGTTCAGATTTCTTTTAAACATGTTGCTCGCGATGTTAAGCGTATGGAGACGCTATTTCGCGTATGGGGCGCTATTTAGATAGTACAGTTCAAAAAAGAAATCCCTCTGAACGTGGCCCATTTGAGGTTTGATGGCATAATTCTAACTGAGCGTACTGTTGACGTGCGGTGTATCGCCAGGAGGTCTTTGTAGAGTCACCTATTGTTTCATTCACTGAAAAGATGCAGGGTGAAAATGAGAACGAACTAGGATTCACTAACTGTTACTACCGATTTAAATCCAATTAAGCACCTTCAAGGTGAACTTAAACATCGCTTGCTAGTGCGTTATTCTTTAAGAAACCGGCAACACGTTAAGGAAGCTCAGGCAAATTTATTGCCACTAGTAAATCGAAATGCAGTGCAGCTATTTTTATAAAATTTTATGGTCATCCTTTTTATGACAAAATGTTGTTAGTTGAGAGAAATTTTTGGTATTTTCTAAATTTCTTCTAAAAAAATTGAATGCAATCTTCAATTTAAATACTGTAAAATTGGTTTTAGTTATGAACCACGAGGTTACCGGTACCTCCACAGAGTGGCCAACCGAAAACACAGGCATATTCTTCATGGAGAACTAATAATGCCTCGTCGGGTAACATTTTCGAAACACCTGGTTATAGAGAAAAATTAAGATTAATAAGTTGCAATTTTTTTTAATGTATAGGATTTCTATACAGGTTTTCTTACGTAACTGTAAGTGCTATGAGATCAGTCACTTTCGTTTCAGATATTTTGTCAAATGTACATATTTCTTTTTCTAAGTAAAACAACTGTATTGTAATTACTGATGGTAGTCTTTTCATACTCATTTATTACTGTTTCTTTTCGTCCTCTATTCCTCTTTCGTGAAGAAGTCTGTACATTGTTGACTGACAGCTACAGTCATATTCCCAATATTTTTGAAACTCCGAATATTGAGTTTCGGTTGAATAATAATAATTTTCTTATTTTTAGAAAGCGCAGGTTTCAAGTTTTTAGTTTCAAACACTAAAGCACAGATAGGTCAGTTACCTGTTCGTCTACCTGCCGTTCTCGGGTTCCTTGACAATCATAGGAAATATTTTGCTATTAAGAGGTAACCTTACTTCCATGGTGAGCCATTTCCAGTACTTTAGTCGAGGACTTGGGAACGATCGGATGTGTTCGGTTGATTTTGGATACTGGTGGTATTTTGAAGTTTGACAAAGATTACAATTTCTATTTCAATAGGCCAGCTCTCAACAGTGTTCAATCATAAATTTCCGCACTAGAACAGTGCATGAGAAATAAAAACGAGAAAAATTCATAATGAATAATTTCGGTTAGTTAAACGATATTATACCAGGGATCAAGTCAGAACAAAGTAGCGCTTTCATGAGTACCAGGATACGAAGGCCACCAACGTAACGAAAGCGGGGAGCATGTGTCCCGCAAAGACAAACCAAATTGTATAATTAAATTATTTTTTGGGTTAGTCCTCCGCAATGGCGTAGAGACAAGTCACGAGAAAGACAGGGGAAGTCCATCGGCTAAATTTACAGCAGACCTGCGGAGCTTCAAAAGGAAGGCCCTAAGAATAATGGCAGGTTTACTGACGGTTTACTGAAAGAACACTGCCTGATTAAGGTGATTCCTAATTTCATGGGAGTCGAAGAAGATATAATATTCTGTTAGGACGAGGATGAAACTGCCATACAGATGTTATGCTCTCGAGATTGTATTTGCATTTGCTACACGTAACCACACCAGAGAGAATCCAATCCAATATGAAATCTAACCAGAGAGATGAACATAGATAGAGCTCTGTTTTTGGGTCGGTTGATTTACTGACTCTCAGAATACGTTGACACACTTCTATTCACTCTTCTATCACTCGTTTATTAAACACTCACTCTGCTCGTGACAAAACAAACCCGTGACTAAAGGGTCGCTTATCAAACTTTTTCATAAGGTATTATTTTATAAGAAGACACGTTTAAACCTAAAATTTTTAATTACGGTCGTCCTTTTTAATGCAGATCGTATACTGGAAGGTAGAGAGTTTTCCTGAAACTAATCGACAACTTTTAATAAATCCCAAAACGAGAAGTTTAATTGGCACTTCGGAAACACAAAATCTGTTAAAATTCTTCGACTCGTCGAGGGATTAATAACCGCCTCTCATTTTCCGCAATAATTGATTACGTGTGCGAATTGGTTTATTTAGAATCGAGAAATTACTTAGTTCGAAGTAACTTGTTCGCGGCGATTGATTACAAGCGTCAATAATTTCAAAAGCGATCGGATTTCGCTACGACTTACTTTTGCCGAATTGTTATTTGCCTTAAACCAATATCGGATTTGATAGTTGAAAAATAGTTTGTTGTTGGCAGTTGGTTAATACATCGCCGCACCCGCCATAATGTTTCGTTCTTGCTTAGGGAAACTTGATTCTTATAAAAGAAAATCAGAATTAGCTAACATATATTCAATACTACTTAATCTTAATTAATTAAACAATGCAAATTATGATATCTTCGCCTACACAGTCGTCAAACAGACGGTTAAATTAAACTTAATAATTTTTTTTTCATTTATTTATTTTCTAATAAATAATAATATTTCTAATAATAATAATAACCAGCAATTTCATAAAAAATATTGTAAACGCTGTTAGAATTAATAGAGAAAGTTAATATCGGAATTGATAAAAATCGTCAATATTTTCGTAGTACTTGTTTAGAGCTATAAAATATTCCAATTTTGAATATTGTCTGAGAAAAATTATTATTCTAAGATATGTTACGGAGAGAAATGCTTTCAAACTAACCTGAATCCCGGAGATATTTACTAATAACGTCGCATTAGAGACCGATATATTGATGATTGGATTCGGCATTTAAATGGGTATTTAAAAATGTAACAAGTGTTCCTATAAAAAGAAACTTATTTAACCACCCTATATATAATTGAGTAACAATTGAAATAATACCAAAAAATTAAATATCATTTTACTGAAAACAACTCATAGTTCTCGAGATAAATTTTAGATCGCTCTGAAACCTGACACCTGAGTGATAATGACAAGCTAATTGAACAAGAAGAACAAAATACCTCGGAAGCAATATCCGTAGAAATAGAAAAATAGAAATCATGTCGAAGAAACCATTTATGACCATGAGCATGAGGGTACTTTTTACATCATTTTTATCTTGCTTTATGGAAGTGAGAGCTGGACACTCGATACTCAAACCCAAAAGAGATTACAAGTTTTAATAAAGTAGAGAAAAATGATTTCAGGATACAGTTTCCCGAGCTACAATAGCCATTTGGATCGCTAACCTTCGCAAGGACCGTGCGTAGTAAGAAAAAGAAATATGCACCCTGTATATTAATTATGGTCGGATGCATATTGCGCTCATTAGATTCAACTGTTTTTTTTGTTTTTCTATATATTCTTTTTTTGTGATATTTTTAATGTGATACTTGGCCAACACTGAAAGATAACTTTGTTTTAATAAATGAAAGGAATAGGGCAAACGGCCAAAATTGAATGTAATAATCAAACACAACAAATTTTAAACATAAGAAACAATTACAATTCTACAAAGACTTTATAAACGTTCGATGTGTATTTGTCATTGTCTATACAATTCAATAATTCATATCTATTTTGTACACGCCTAGAAAATGTAATTTGTTGTTAAATTTGGGATATTCCGTAAGCGATAAATCAATTTTCAATACCAATTTCGAAAGGATGGTTCTTGTGTTTTCAACGATTACCACGAATTGAAAATGGTTAAAAGGCGAATTGTTTTAATATAGGAAAACCTGAAGTAACCTACCATGAAATTTCCTCAGAAATCGAATTATGAAATTATATACAAAATGTTCCATTTAAAACAATATGACATAAATTATCACATCCGTATAACCAACCGCAAATAACTTCATCCTCTTAGGGCAAAGACTTGCTTATTATGTTTTTTTTTTTTTACATTTTACTACTCCAAACCATTTAGAAACAAAGTTAAGGCAGTAGACCTTATTTGGTTACCCATTAAATTTTTTCTACCGATATCGGGCTGAATGTAGTTATTTAAAAGATTTTGTTCATTTATGTCCAGAATATAATAGTTACAATGCTGTTTATTTGCGGTTGTTGATGCAAGTAGCGTGATCATCCACAACAGTTGGAGAACTAGCTATAACGAGTTTGATTGTTCTTTATTGGGAGTTTTTTTAGGCCAAGAAGTATTTCTTGATCTTAATATTGATTGGACGCGTTAGTTTGATACGAATTCTAATCAACAACAGAAGACTTGAATGGAAAATTACCTTTGCACACCGCACGCAATATCACTGGGTCTTAGGATCAAAGCATAAGTGACGCAGTAGCACATCAGTATTCCTGCGAGTAGGGTGTAGCTTAATTCCCTTCCAGACGCTCTTACGACGGGGGTAGTATTGTACTTAATGAAAACCCCCAGTACGAACAGAGTAACCAAAACTCCGGTCGAACTAAGTGCCATCGCACCAATGGCCCATCCGCTATCCGGCTGAAGGTACTCTTCTGGAATCGGGTTACATCGAATGTGACGCGGATCTGGGACGGTTCCTTGAGGACACACGATGCATTGAGTGGGATCCGACGGATGCCGAATCTGTAACGAAAATTGTTGTTGAGAGAAGTAATTATAATTGAAAAATTGGAGAATCCAACCCTCTATGAAGATGTATCTAGACTAAGTTCAATTCATCCGAGCTTTGTTTTTTAGAAAAGGCACATTTTTGAACCTTGTTTTTTATAGCTTTTTATTTCCAAATGTACTGAACCTGAAGATCGAGAAAAGATATCAGCAATACTTTTTAACACTTTGATTTTTTAAAAATAGTTTTCGTAGTCAAAACTTTGTAACTAGGATTAGCGACAATTAGTTTTAATTTGTTATATCCCTTTCATACACAAGTAAAATGTTATAAGTTTGCAGGCCAAAAAAACTGTAGCAATCGTATTAAGTATTAATGTTTTTAACGAAAAAGTGAAAAGACCTTCATTTTGGAAAATGTAGTTATCAATAGTTGTGTAAACCGCTGTTTCAATTTCAGCTCTTGACATAGACTGATATAGACTGTCTAGCGGCCTCACAAGTAAAAATCTAATGATGCTGAATGCAGGGGTCTAGGTGGTTTAGGGAAACAAAGAACCCTTTCTGATTATTCGCCATTTTATGTTGGATTTTATTATTTTTTGCACAAATGCGATGAATTTTAGAGTTATCACATGTAATAATTTGACATATATTCGAACACCCTGTATAAAAATACTTTGCAGTTCAAGGTCCAACCATCTTCAATGTAGTTATCAAAACAACAATAAATAATAGCTAAAATCTAACTAAAAACTGACTAGAGACTTGAAGTTTGTATTTTGTGCATTAAGTGTATTAAGGGAATTGGATATGGATATATGGAGGCTTTATTAAATTGAAATAAAATACAAATATTTTTGAGAATGTTGCTTGTTACGTGTTACTGAGCTTTTCATTTGCAAAATAGAATATTATGATATGTATGCACTAATTATTGAAATATAATAGGATGTGATTATAGAAGTTCATTAACCGGAAGGTTATCTAGTTTTTTAATAAACTGTAATTTACAAAATTTGCGTAATTATGGCGAAATAATATTGGAATGTAATAGTTCAATTTTGGTCATCAATTCCGATATTTTCAATGATAAAATTTGCAAAGATTTATATGTTTAGTTAAAACTTTTATACAGTTCAATAAATTTTATATTCGATTGTTGTATTTTAAGTTCTAGGGTACGCAGAATATTTTATGAGGAATAACTTCTTTCCATAAAGCTAAAAATAAAAGTTTTCCATATGGTGCTGATTTAACTGGACACATTGTGTATACGGGGTGTTTGGAAAAGTCGATACAAAAAATAGCCCAACATTGACGGACAGTGGAGCAAATTTACTGAAAGCTTTCAAAAAAGTTGCTGTAATTTGGATATTTCTTGAAATGACTTTTTAAAAGTTGTATGTACGACTACTTTTGTAATTGCCTTCGCCTAGAGATGTTCCTTTGAACTATCAGCGAATAATATTATTTTTCATGAATTTAGATTTTTGAAGATAAAAAATCCGCCATAGCGATTGTCATATTTATGTGCCAAAAAAATTGAAAATAAGATTTACCTGATACTGAGTGCAGTTGAAGCAATGCCAGCAGCAACTCTCCCCTTCGACGTATTTCTTTGCCTGACCCAAATCACACTCTAGGCTGCATACTGATTCGGGTGGCTTAGGCTGACCTAATTTAAATTGAACCTCTGAAAATAAATTACTTGTCGTTAATTGATATCTAAACTTAGTCGATTTTGTTACGTTCTTGTACAGTATGTCTATTTTTGTTGTTAATACAGAGTTAAATAGAAAATTTGGCCATTTCAGTTATCCATTGTATTTTACACACCCTGTATCTTAATAGGAAACGGAAGACCTTATTACGATTACTTCAAAAACGGAATACATGTACACATGTACAATATATGTACAACATGTAGAATACAAAAAATCGTCAATACAATTCGATAATTCTACAGTCACGGAGTAGAAAATAGAATGGGTACAAATCGAGTTAAATCCAGAGTTCCTTAACTCTTGTGAAGTAAATAAATCCAAAAACATATCCAACTTAGTCAAAATCAATGATAACTAGAAAGAACTTTGAAGTTTGATTGACTTTCAATCGAAAATACGAAATAGCAAGAAAACCGTTAAAAAGGGACATAGGAGAAGGGGATGTAGAATTATATTGTTTTGCATGTTTGAAAATTAATTTTCTGGTAAATGTTGAACGCCTGTTAAGCGATAAATAAATTGTCAATACCAGTTTCAAAAAGACGATTCTTGTGTTTGCGTTTGCCATACTTGCCAACGCACACCACGAATTAAAAATGTTAAAAAATGTTAATCTTTCAAAATTTTTACTTAATCAAGATATCTAAGAAGTTACTGGGATGAAGTATAGAAAAACTTGAATGAACCCTTTATGAAACTTTCTCAGAGATCTAGAAATTAAATAATATATGGGGTGTTCCATTAAAGTTAAGTTAAGTTAAGTTAAAGTTAATAAAATTTGATATATAAATATCCGACCCAAAATAAGCCCATCTATGACACCACACCATCCATACATTAATAGATTGATACCCCTGGGTTTTTATTTCGTATATTTGTCTAGGATTATCTATAGACCAATATCGCGTATTTTGTCTATTACAACCTTTTCTTGTAGTGAACGAACTTTCATCAGTCCATAAAATGTTTTTCAAAAAATTATTATTCTCATTATGTCTTTTTCAAAAATTCAAACAAATCCTCCTTTGACGTTGTTCTGCACTTAGCTTTTGAGTTTTAGGAAATTTAAATCTATTATTTTGATATTATTTCAAAACTGATTCGATTAATCCGCGAGAAATACTTGTCTCTTCATATACTCTAGTACTAGAGGAAACTGCATGTGCTTCATAGAATCTAAATGTGTTTGCCTTATTTTCTTCATTTTAAATATTATGATTCCGGCATATCTTGTCAGCATTTAATAGGTTACCGTTTTCTGCAAATTTTTTTGCCATTTTGAAATATCTGTTTTGAAGGAGCTCGGCGCTCTGGATAAAGTCTAATATACCGACGACGAGGTGCGGTTGCACTTTTATTATTCACTTCTTTGACGGATGCTAAATTCGCAAAAAACAATAATGACTTGGACAATAATTCAACCATCAACGTTGATTACTAATTTGTCAAACAAACATATTTTTATTTGTCAGTCGGGGCACTTTTGGAAATTATATAAAAATTTCCTATTTTTGCCGATTTGTCAAAAATGAGTAGACTAAAATACAAAGTGTGTTACATCATTCTAATCGAAATAAGTTATTCTATGAAACACATATATAACATACAGGGTGTTTTGTTTTATACGTCACTTCGAAAAAAACGTGGCTGTAGGGTTGGTACATTTGGTTTTTTTGTTTACCTTTGTATCTCTAAAAAAGTTACAGCCAATTAAATTGTTATCAAGATAAATTGAACGCACGGTGCATATAAAAGAATAAAAGAATGCAGCTGATATCTTTGATAATAATAAGCTGCTACAAGTAAAACTACAACTATCCATTAGACCTAGGAGCTCCAGAAAGAAACAAACACCGCAAAAATGTATGTGTCCGGATATGGAATTACAACAATGTTATTTACTGAATTTTTCCTAACAGTTATTCGAATTGATGAGGGTATTTAATTATCCCACGCCACAGTATCGAATAATATTAAAAAATTAGTCAACGGTCGATGAGTCGGAATACGAGCCCTGCATGTGTGCCGAGACAAGCAATTAATCTGGCTTTAGTAAGGCGGTTGAAAATTAATTGGAGATTGATTATTCCACGAAGGGTACAGACAGAAAATTAGATGGACGGTGACGAAAATGTTGCACAAGAATTTCCACCGGAAATAAAGCTGAAAATGAGTATTTAAATGATGAAAAAGGACTGGTCTGACGTATATTTTACCACAGTTCAGACTCAATAGATAAAAGAAAGTGAAAGCATAATATAGCTGAAAATGCAATATTATCAATATCGCCATGGAGTTCACAAACTAAGGGAAATATGATAATTATGTTTGCGGCATCTTTCGAGATTGGCATGGTTTTATAAAATTAAGAATATTAATAATGATCTTTATTAACACCGTTAGGATAGCCAAAATACAGGTACAGATAAAACAAAATAAACTAATAGATTTTCAACGTATTAACAATATATACAGAAAATCGTTCTTCTCATTCCTAAAAATGCACTGTTTCCCTAATGTATTGCTATTTAAGTTTGAAATCCTTATAAAACAGATAGAACGAGGTGGGATAATAGATCTACGAGAGTCTAAGGGAAAATTGGAAACACGATTGCTCGCAATGCTGCAACCAGTGTAAAAAGGCTGCTAAGATCATTGACACTGGTTTCAGTACAAGTACAAGGTGGCCATTAGGTTAGGTTAAATTAGGAAAATAGGTTAAGCCAAGCTTCCGCTTCGTATAATTATTTGTATAATTTTGTTCGTATTTTATTGTATAATTATTATTATTTTGATGATTTACATTCATAGCACAGAGGAGCGAGTGTTTAATAAACGAGTGACCTAAAAAGTTTACCAAACGGATGGCATACTATACATTTTCTACGACCGTGACACTAACATAACTGATATAACTGTCAGAATTGACAAACGTCAAAATTCAAGCCGTGCTGTAAAAACTCTGAAAACATCCGATTACTCCCAATCCAGTTCTGTAAGATCCCGGAAATGTCCGAAGTCGCTCGGATCCGTGGGACAAGAAACTCATGTTTTAAAGTTACACTTCTCGCACGCCAGATCGATGTTTAATTAGGTATTTTACAGAAGGGAGTAGAAAAAAAGATTTAATGTATGTTAAAGAATACACGTAATACATATGCATAATTTAACATATTAACTCGAATAATATATCTGTCACAATTTAATATGAGTCTTAAAGCCCTATTTTTGTAATACATCCAACGCAGAAAGAACAGCCAAAAACAACTCATAATTGAGATACTATGCAATTGCAACATTGTAAAAATATATCGTCGGCACTGAAACGAATTTTAAGGAAATACCTTTTCTTACTCTTGCTTTAGATTTATTGCCGAGTATTAGCAAATTTTTTGAATTTTTTGTATGCCGCTCAATTGCATTATTGCAAGGAATTTTTAAATACGTGTGCATAATTGCGCTATTTAAGTTGCATATAATAACATTACACTGAGGCAGTTATGGAATAAATTTATATTAAATATTAAATTTGTCACGCGATCTATAATTATAGGTATCGAATAAGTAATAATTGAGAAAATGTATTTCTTTATTTCATTTCTCATTTTTCATTTGGACAGAAATTGAAGACCAAAAAAAAATAGATTGGTTAAATTCAATTATTTTAATAAAGCACAGGTTATGATTTATAAGTTTTTATAAAGTTCTAGCCATTTTTTATATTCTATATTTTTGCCCGTTTATATATTTTAATCAGTCGATTTTTTTCTGTAAAGTGCTGCGGTGACTTCACTTAACCTGGCGAAAACTCCAAAATCAAAAGGACCGAGACACTGCACCGAAAAGAAAAGGGATTTAATTAAAAAGCGTATGCGTAGATAACTGTTTAATTAAAACTTACCGTGTGCCTTAAATTATAGTTACATTTTCGCTGTCATTTTGGTTTTGATGTTGTGGTCATTTTAATTAATTGGCTCAGCTAGAGGCGAGTTCGAATTAGCTGTAGGGAAAAGGGACCTTTCAGGTGAAACGGTCCTTTAAAATCCTTTAAATACTATTTGCACGATCTTTACAAAATTGTTAACATGAAATTTTGCTGCACGGAACAAGCATCAGACAGTTAGCCACAAGCCAGCAAGAATGACCTACGAAATTTTTACAATGTAAGCTATATTTGCTAGAATCTAATATAAAAATGAAACAATATTTGAATGACTGTACTCTTTACCTCAATAATAAGGTCCGTAGATACTATAGTCTTTAAGTTCAAGATATTAGCTTCCAACTAGATCATATTTCTTTGATGTTCTATGTTGACATAACCTCCAGATAGGCACGTGTTCTAGAATATAGCAAAAAGACAAAACGGACCAGGCAAAATGATCCAAGTGGTTCATTTTTCCCGCTCCGTTTTGCCTAAACAACTTCTTTTAAACAAAGCTTGTACTTGTTAAGCTGCAGGGTTTAATCCAAGTTTCTTTTCACTTTAAAACCTGGACCTAACGACGATAGAAGCAGATATTCTGATGATTCATTTGCAAACCTAAGAAACCAACCTTGTTGTTCAAAGTCACTAAATTTTCCTGATACTGTGGTTCCAAATAGGAACCAGAACGAAAGTGATGATTAAACGCTTCACAAGTCAAACGAAAAATCGGTTGCAGGTGTAAAATAAGATAAAAAAAAAGAAGGCTGAGAAGTTTTCAAAGAAAAACGGGTCTTCTTCTAGTAAAGAAGAAAACGCAGAGTGTTTGTATTGTCACTATTTATATTCAACGTCAACGGAAGGCTCCAGTGCCTCTCATATAAACGTTGGGCTCACTGTTCCTGTGCTGGCGCTGAAGATGAACACGAAAAAACGGTTTTTACTTGCGAAACATGCAAGGACTCAATGTTTTTTATTAAGGTCCATTATGCCTTCATGAGGGTGCCGTTGTACCTTCCTATGAAGGCAAAATCGAAATAATGTAGCTTTATGATGTATTGTTTTAAATAAACCGTACTTGTTTATTTTCATTTATGTTTAATATGATACTGAACGAAAACATACTATGTTACACAAATATAAGTTTAGTTTGTCAAAAGTGTTGTTCATCTTTTTTTATCCTGGTCATAACTTTAAGGGTACCATTTTGGCTTCTGTTCCGCACCTACCAGAAATGATGGTAATGCCGCAGAAAATAATTGTTGTTTCAACAATTGAGACACAGCATACCTAGTTGTTATTAAATGCTTTATGCTATACAGAGAAGTTGGAATAGGATGTGTGCATAATTTATACCATCTGTATACTGTTAAATGAAAAAATAAAATGACAAGTGATCATATCTCTATTCGTTGCAGTATCATGCATGTTAAGATCTGCCGGTGGTTTGTGTCTACGTGTTTAGACGAACTTTAACTAACTACGTGCACTGCTGAATTATAACAATAGGAATACATTTAATTTTTCAAAGAAATTTCCACAGGCTACTGTAATACTTTTTACAAAATTTCTGGTTTCCTCCTGCGTCGGTTTTTGCTGAGTCGAACTTGCTGACGTTTCGCCGATCGCCAGTTTCAGTCAAGCTCTGAAGAAGCCAACAGAATGATTTTCGAAACGTCAGCAAGTTCGACTTACCAAAACCTACGCAGGAGGAATCCAGAAGTTTTGTAAAAAGTATTACAGGGGTACATTTATTTCTGTTGACTGTGTTACAATGCAAAAGGCAGCTAATTAGATTTTAGTAAGATCGATAATATTTTTAATAGTTTTAAAGAACTTTCTTTATTTTGAAAAATACCACCACAAATTACAATTGGACCAATGATTTTCAAATGCTATTGGTTACTGATGGTTTTATAATTTGAGATGAAATGTGTTTCACTAATGTACAAAGTCTTACAAAATCTTTAAAAAATTATTGCGTTTTTTTATTTTAAAGATAATTTAGAGTTGGAGTATTTTAAAATGACTGTAGAGGGCTAATCCTAGTTTGGGTTTGATGGAGGGGGAAAGGTCTAAACAAACATTTCGTGCGGTGTATTTTTCAACCTTTCTGGCAAAAGAAAAGGGGAAAATTACACTTAATTTTGAGACGAAATGTGCTATAAATAATGCATTACAGGGTATTGAAAAAATATTGATATTGAAAAAATAAAATATAATGCGTTTTCTTTTTATTAATAATTAATACGAGTTTGGCCAGCATTGAAGCATTTTTTTCTTATCTAATTTCATTGTTTTTTAGTTTTCTCGTATGTCGCTTTCATTTAGGTAGGTGAGTCAAAGATAGAGTAAAGTTTATCTCACTGGTTTTCCAAAGATATGAGTAAATGCAAAGTTGTAGAGATTGTAAGGATGCACAATTTAAAATTATTTTAAAGTATACAGGGTGACTCAAAAAAGCGCGATGAATAAAACATAAATTTTTGAAATGGAACACCCTATTTTTAAATTTATTTTTAAGTCGTTTTAAAATTCTTCAAATAGCTTTTAAATATTTTAATTTTTCTAAAAAATACTAGTTTTCACACTTCTAAAAAAAATCCCAGGCGGCCTTATTTAAGCCATATTTAATATTAGCGTTATTCGAAGATATGTCCAACGGAATTGGAATTATATGCTACAGGGTGTTAAAAAAAAGGATTATATTCGGATCATTTTAAATTGAAATTTCTCGATTCTCTTAAATGACACACCATTTATCTTATTATTTTTTCTAAAACACCGTACACAAACCTGCATCTCTTATTAATTATATCATACACCTATTTGTAATACTTTGTTTTACATTTTCCAATATTTACCTTTCTTTCTGTCCAACACTATTGGTAGAATATTGGCTGGCCATGAAACTATTAACCGATAGGGCTCTGTTAAGCTTAAAAAATGACGGAATTTTAAATTCACAGAAAAAGTGAATGAAATTAAATACCTGTTTCTACCTATTTCATTTTCAATTGTTTTTATGGCTCAATAAAATGTTCAAAAATATGTCCTTCTACCCGGATACACATGTTTCGTCTTTTTCGTATGTTTTCTTCGACGTTCCTTAGCATAAATGGTGTTATTCTCCTGTACGCTTTCCGAATCCTATTTTACATAACTTCTGGTGTTGTAGGGGGATTCACGAAATACTATCTTTAACATATCCCCACTAAAAGCAATCTAATAATGATCACGAGATCCATTCAATGAATCTTTTGAAGATGTTGAGGGAAATCATTCTTCCGTTAAGTATTTCGCGAAAAAAATTTGATCCAATAACTTCAAAGTGTTTTATTCCACACCACTTGCACTTCCCGTACCCAGAATGGATTAACTACACCATTACTGCGAAAAATAGATTCATCGGAAAACATTATTTTAGACAAAAAATTTGGATAGACCTCTATTGCCAACGTTGCAGAAGTTTTATATGGAAGTGATAATGTTTGCGATTTCTAGTGGTGCGATTAGCAGTAGATTGGGATGTATCGCATACGCTAGTTATTTGACGGTTATTCACCTGGAGATTACCTTGAACTTGAAGAAAAATTTCCAATTCTTTCCATTAAACACTGAAGAGATTGTCTAGTTAGTATACCTCTATTACTACTTCTTGTAAAGTCTTACTGCCAATGAAGTATTTTTTTTCAGCTCACCCAGTATATAAAGCATATCAATTAATTCATATTTAGGAAAATCCGTACTTAGTTTTTTCTTTAATTTAGCGACACCACAATAAATTTTATACATAAATGTTATAGTCTTAGAGAGAAAGAGGGGTAAATATTGGAAAAGTTAAAATAAATCGCAGAGTATTAAAAATTAAAATACTTGATAAAAGTTGTGGATTTTGTACAATCTTTCATAAAAAATAACAATATACATGGTGTGCTATTTAAGAAGATTGAGATTTTTCAATTTAAATGATCCAAATATATTTATTTTGAACACGTTTTTGACATCATCTATTAGGTTTAGGTATGTACTAATTTTAATAAGAAAGTTGAAGAATTTTAAAAGGATTTCAAAAGACAATTTAAAAATCGGGTGTACGTTTTATTCGTCACGCTTTTTCAAGTCAATTTTAATTTGTATATCTTAACAATCTATACAACTTTTGTATTTACCATTTTCTTATAAATCTAAAAGCCATTGACATAGCGTACTTTACTCTATCGTTGGCCCGCCTAGTAGAGTAATAATAATTATCATCATTTTGTGAACTAATTGAAAAGTTTGAAATGGATACAAAGTAAAAAAACTTACTTAGGAATATCGTTTGCCACATGTTAATAATAAAAAGAAAACGCATCAAATTTTCGACAGCCCTGTATGCTGCCTACTGCTTTCTGAGAGTTCAGAAAGCGTCACTTTACCACGTGACTTTCTTGTACCACCAACCCGAGCCACTTCAGACATTTCCGGCATATTACGGAACGGGTTTTTGGGAGAAAGCGGATGTTTTCGGAGATTTTACCGCACGGATTGAAATTTATATAAATATTTATATCATATCTTATTCATCATAGAGCAACAGATCGATAAGATCAATAAAAAATATGCAGAGTACCTACTGAATGGAAGGCTTAATTTGACATGGAAAATTACATTAATCTTAAAGCGGATTAGCGAGTTCAATTAAAAATTTTTGTATTAGCTTTTTCCTGAAAGTGAGAAAAAACTTTAAGGGCAAAATGATTTCGATAATTTTTTCTGTTTTAAAGTTAATTTAATTTTTACAAACCTTTCATTTTGAATCTCTTAAATAGGACATATTTTCCAAATCATCTATTAAAAACGACTTTCTATATTGATTTATAGCAATACCTGTTGCTTTGTGGACACCCTGTGAGTTTACGCATCAGCTCGATTCCATCAATCACAGACGATTTCTCTTACCTGACATGTTCAACCTGATTTTCCCTTCCACATATTCTCCTACACGCACCCACTGATATTTCCCAGCCGCAACTTGCTTGAAATGGATGATATTGTATCTGGCAGGAGCATCTCCGTTGCTATCGAAGTGGAAGCTATCTCCACTCAAACCTGTAACAAGTTTAAGGATTACCGATGAGAAATCGCGAAAGAAAAAAGTCGGTTGTGTTTTAACGATTTCCGCGAGAACGCGGTATGTTATCGAACGACAGCTCAAACATGGACTTTTGAATTCATGCATTGTGAAAAATATTTTTTTGAAAGTATCAAAAACTTTATTGTGGTATAATTTTTAATATATACATTTTAATGGGATATAAATAAATGGGAAAATCCTTAATAATATTAACACTGTCTTGTCTTCAGGTTCTTCCTAGGATTTACAGAGACTATTAAACAAAGTAGTGAAAGCTAGCAAAGATTACGGTCTCAACATGAACATCAACAAGACTAAAATGATGGTGATAACAAAAAGGAATTAAGCAACAGGTAGACGGGAAAACAATTGAACATGTAAAACACTAAAAGTATCTTGGCACCATAATTAATGAAGACGTAAGAAAAGTCTTCATAAAATGAAAAATCTATTGACGACTCCGGACCTATCGCTAATAGTAAAAACAAAAATGGTCCAATGCTATGTATTTCCCGTGTTACTTTATGGCTTGGAAGGCTGAATAGAGAAACCACAAGGAGGTTGGAAGCTTTTGAAATGTGGACTTAGACGCATGCTGAGAGTCTTTATCTTTATCATTAAAAAACGCAAAGTTGGACATATATCACGCGGTACAAGATATGAGCTGCTGAAATTCATTATGGAGGGCAAAATTGTAGGTAGACGAAGTGTGGGACGCCGAAGAATCTCTTAGTTGCACAATCTTCGAGAATGGTTTAGTCTATCTTCAATTGAATTATTTAGATCAGCAGTATCAAAAGTGAAGGTAGCCGTGATGATCAGCAACCACCAAAGGAGAAGCTGATACAAGAAGAAGAATGAAATAGTGCACAAAGGAAAAATGATCACGAACTCTGTTAAATAGTCTACAATAATGAAAAATGACACTAATCTGAAACAACTGTGTAAAGTGGAATTTTGGACGCAAACCTTTGACAGCTTTAAAAAAATATATGATTGTCTTGCCTACCTCACACTAATATAGCGCATTGAAATTGTGTGCACCTCTTATACTTCAAAAAGTTCATTTTTACACGTTTCCAGAGTTTTTTTAGGCTTTCTAACATTGTTACCAAATTGTAATTTGTGATAAAAGGAGGAGCTCATATCCAGGATTTTCTTATGCCCATTTTGTTTTCAGTTCCAGTTGTTTTCGAATAATTTTGTCGAGTTTCAGTGCTGCTAAAACCACTTAATTTGATTTCTAAAATTATGAAATATTTGTATAGGTACAGTCTGTCTCAATCTTCATCGTGTTGGCTTTGAACGGACCCTCCCCAATAAAACTTTAACAATATTATTACCTGTTGTTATTGGGTAATGCCATTAACAAAAAAATTATTCCTGAGTCGCAATGTGGCTTATGCATAGTTTGGGTACTAAGAATCTCAAGAATTTTTTAGCAATAGAAGCGTTCATCAATTCTGAATAAGTTTCGGAAGACCATTTTTATCCTGAATTGGGGCAGGTTAAATGAATGAAAACAGTGTAATTATACGCAATATACCATTTATTTAGATATTTATGTCAGTTATAGTCTGTTTTAGAAAGGTGTGTAACAAAGCCTAATTTGGTATGCATCGGGACTCCGGAACGACACAACGAATTCTTAAGCCATTGATTGGCATTGATTAATTATTGATTAAATTATTATCTAGTGCAGGTAGTAGGAAAATAACCTATCAGGGTTCTAATGAGGCAGAAGAAGTATGAATTCCTTCAGTTTATAATAGAAAGTATGATTGAGCGATAACGCGGTTCTGTATGTCGGCAATGTTCCTGGTTAAAGAACATCGTAGACTGGACCGACTTGAACTCACACACGTTGTTGAGAAGGGCAAAAATTGAGAGCAATTTGGCAGTATTGTTGCCGATCTCCCCTGAATGGACATGGCACTAATGATGAAGCATGGGGTTTGTTCAGCACCGCATGACCTAGTTAATTAGAATCCGCTGGTTTGAATTATATTACACTATATATAAATTAACCCTGTTTGAAGTATATCACAATTGATCGTTCATTTTTTCATAGAACATAGAACATAGAACAACTCCGACTGGGCCAACAACCCTTTTAATCGCAGTTTAAGCTTTGACTGCATTGCTTGCCCACTGACATGATACCTTCAACACCGACTGTGTGACTAGGATGCCGATCCGAATGTTGGCGAGCATCATACCGATCCGTACTTTCTCTGAAGCAATCTGGAAGCGTCGTGTAGTTTTTTTGTTAAAGCAGATTCTGACGTTTTAAGCCACGATGTCCTACGTTTTCCCGATCCTTTTCGTCCAAAGATTTTTGGGTGTACGATTTTCTGTAGTAAACCGTATCTCTCTTCGCATCGTATTCTACTTTAATTATGCTCGTCAATTCCAGGTCTTCATCCTCAGAACTTCCTCAGAACTTCGTCGTTTGTCGCTTTTACCGTCCAAGGGATTTTCAGCATTCTGCTGTATAGGAAGTATTGAGTTTTTTTGGTTGTAGTGTCATTAAGCGTTAATGATTCTGTACCCTAAAGAAGAATGAAGACGACATAGCATTATAGGTGTCTAAGGGAGGTTATGACTTCTAAATAAGACGCTCAGGGCTGTTAAAAGTTGCTCTGTCTTTTTCTATGCGTGCTTTTATTTCCTGTGCGTTGCTGCAGTCTACATTAATAATAGTTCCTAGATAGTTTTAATGATCAACTCTTTCGACTTGGTTTATGAATAGTCAGCTTCCTATTTGCGTTAACTTCAAGATCGTACAGTCAGCAAAGATGATAATATCATCGGTAAACCTGTCCGTTTATCAGCATTCCCTTGTCCATCCTGTCTAGGGCTTTATTGAAGGTGTATTCCGAGTAGAGGTTGAAAGTAAGTGGTGAAAATATGCAACTCTGTCGAACCCTTCGCTTTACTTTTACGTCATCTGTGTGTTCTCCTTCAACTCCACAAGTTTGCAAGGTTGCACCAAAGGTTCCCAGCTATTCTCAAGTTTTGTCATCGATACCTGCTGCTTTCAGTATTTTGACCATCATTTTGTGTTTTACTGTGCCAAATGTCTTTTGGTAGTCCATCAGGCATGCGTATACGTCGCAATTCATCTTTGAAATAAGACTTGCACTGCAAATAGTGCTGCTCTAGTTCTTCTTGGAGATATTTGGCTATTACACTGTCGACGACGTTAAAGAATACTTTTTAGAAGTGGCTCACAAGACTTTTTATGGGATACTTTTTACACCTCGTTGCTCTTTTTTTTTTCTTAGGAATAGCAACAAATTCAGATTTCAGTCATTCGGATGGAATGTTTCCATTTGTGTAACAAGCGTGAATGTTCTTTCATCAAATAGTTTTGGTTAGTTAGTTAGATGTGGTTAGTTCTGTTTGGATGTTATTTGTTCGCTTAGAATCTTCAGAATATGTCAAAGTGTTTGATTCTTTGATCCTCAAACAGTTTTTGTAGGCATTCTTTCTAGGTGTTGATTTTGGTTGTTTATAATTTGACCTTCTGAGACTGTGACGTTTCTGTTGACCTTTGAAGTTGAAAGTGAGCTCATTATATTTTAATGTTATTTACTATTTATCTATTCTTAAAATACATATCACTAAAAATTCAAAATATGTCAGAAACGGTAAGAAATTGTATATGAAATACCTCTAGAATTTTATGAATAATTCAAAAATTGTTCAATATACAGGTGTTATATTTAAAATTAGAAAGTTACTTGTCCACGAAAATACAAAGAACCTGTATATATAATAATATAATATTTTGATAGTATATTATGCAACAAATTTGGCAACTGGCATTTGAGTCACTCGTTTTGTTTTGACACGCAGCGGAGCCAGTGCTTAATAAACTAGTTACTTAAAAATTTTATCAAACCTGTACCTGTTTTGCGACTACTAGTATTAGTATTTTATAGATGCTGAGAAAAGTTATCATCTCATAATAAACGGGCCAGCCTGTATACATCATTTTAACTAACTAAAAAATAAATATTTCAAAAAATGGTGTTTCTTACTGTATTGAAAAATCAAATCACAACATGTTTAATATAAATAATTATGAATATTTATTTAATTTCATTTAATTATTAATTTAATTTAAAATAAAAATATTACCATAGCACTACATCACTTGCGAAACGTTTTTTGGATACATTGGCATCGCCGGGCTGACATAAAAATGTTTTTCTATTTTAATTGGGTGAAAATATTGGAATGGCAACAAAAAATTCCCGACCTGAAAACAGATCGTGTTTGGGTTTTATCAAAATACGTGTTTAGCTACACTAACTTTGTTCTCTTCTGAGTTTGGGCCCTACCGATTTTTGCCAAATGCGCATTTGAATATAAATTGGGATCGAACTCGCTTCCAGCGAATTGCCCTATTTTGCTTTTGTAAAAAATAACGACTTCATATACCTGTAAAAAGGTTTGCGATTGCCCTATATAAATGATACATAGTTAGGGCGTTTCTCTTAAAATAAAAAAAACACTAATTTCGAAGTGTTTTTACAGTTTAATATAAGAAAATAAAAAAAGTGCTAAAAATTTAGAGTCAGCAGATTTTCTAATTAACTTCTATATGGAATCAAAAAAAGGAAGTAATAAGACTTTCCTTCTATAACATCATTTATTAAGTCCTATTTTAGAAAGGTAGGAAAGGAAAGGAAACCAATATAAGCTCATAGGCAAAGGGACCGGTAATTGAGTTATTAGGCTCTTTTTATTAAAGCGAAACAGTTATATACCCTAATTGAACTGCAAAGCTTAGTGGTCTGCTTTACATACTACGCCGTATTCCATAGGCATATTCCATATTCCATAAATCAACGTTTTTAATGCTCAAAAAGTTCTTTGCTTGCACTGCGGCAGTTGGTTTTTCTAATTTCTTCGAAGACTTTCGGCCAACAAATGGTTGTGTACCATTCAGAATTGACAGTTTTAC